GGCGGTAACAGTTTGGTAAAGATGACCGACCGAAAGCTAGGCAATAGCTTGGCGATCTGACATAAGATATGAAGATCAGTCACTAGCCTTGCCAAAGTTCGCAATGTCTTCATGACTTTGATTATATCTGCGCAAGGAAGCATATCTTTCAGCTTAGAGTGCGATTTGTGCGATGGGCGCAGGGCGAGAGCTGCAAGTTCCACAATTTGACACATTTGGTTCTCCCTCTCCAGTAGGGCTGATGAGTTCGATTTCAACAAATAGAAATTAAGGAGCTCTGGTATGAGCCTCTCAATTGCGTTGGAAGCTAATGGGTGGGTTTTGGAACAGCAGCCAAGGAGACATGTCAAATCCTTGGACTGGCTTTCACTAGTTGATCGAGTAATAGGACGCAATGGTGACCTTTTCAGAAGCTGCGCTGCCTTTTCCACGCCGTCATTCACACGACTAGCGTTGTATACTATTGTTTCGCGCAAAAATTCATGATTATCCACGGAATTTTGATGCGAAAACCCTTGACAGGTAGTTAGAATCTGCAACAAATCGTATCGCTAAGTAGTATTTTACTTACGTTCCCCTTGCCTACTAAGGAAGCGAGCCAGTGAAGAAAGAAAATTGTTGTCTTCGCGCCCGAATCCAGAGTTTCGAGCGATGTCAATCTCGATTGAATCTTCCTTCTCTCTCAATGCGGCAGCAGTAACATGTTTTCCGCCCTTCGTGTGGGCGAGTAGCTCACTTATACTATTGAGAAATTTATCCCGAAGAGCTTCATCGCCAACCGCCAAAACTGCAGTCTCTGTACTTGTGTTACCACTGTCAGGGCTGTCATCATAGTCCTCGTCGTCATCAGTTATCTCATCATCAGATGGTGTATGTGTGGGCTGCAACGGCTTATCTGACACGGGGGTGGTGTAAGGATTCCAATAAGAGAGTATATGGGATGCCCAAACAACCTTGGCAACTTCATCAATCGCTTTGGGTGATGGTATTTTCATGCTTGACTTGAGATAATCCAAGACGGCCGAACATGGAGGGATTGGCGAGAGAAAGCCCGAGGACATGAAAAGGTAACTAGTTAAGGAAACATTACATACCTGTGGGTTGGGGGCGTGCACTTACGTGGCGCATGTGTCTGACTTGTTTACATTGCTATGGATATAGTTCTAGCTACAATAACTCCATACAGTGACCAAACATGAGGTCATGTATCCTTGAGAGTAAGATACTGTATAGATGGTACAAGAGGAATCCGTACATGTTCCTAATATAGTTTAGTCTATCTTGGCATTATGGTTCGAGAAACAATCGAAGAGTGTAGGTGGTGACACCAGTTTCGGGAAGTACTGTACAATGATGCTGAATGCTGAAAAATAAATTCAGAAAGATTGTTTTTCTCGATAAAAGTTGTCGTTAAATAGTGGGGTTGACGTTCAGCCTTGTGAGAGCCTTCGGTAGCTCAGCCTCGCGGGAATGCAACGATGCCTGATTTGACCCGACCCTCTGAGGCATATCAACAAACAGCCTAGTCAACGGGAATTCTATGGAAAAAATTATGATAATTAACTTCAAGGATGATAAAACTACGTCTCGATAGCGTAGATAACTACATTTTGAGGTATCACTAGCAGACAATGATATGCAAGAAAGGAGAGATATATAACATCTAGGAGCTGACGGAATGTCAAGCCACTTCTGCGCGATTGATAGAAACACAGGAAGTTCTAATGTGCCGAACGAGTCTATAAATCTAAAACTGAACAATAATTACTCATACTGTACCCCATGCTTGAATCTCCTGCTCAGACTTGCGCTTCTCCTCCGATTTTGAAAGCAACTTGTCCCCATCTTTCGACCTCTTTTTCCGCGTAAGATTTTGTTTCGCCATGTCTCGTTTCTTCTGCGCCTCAACGATATCTTCATAGCTCATCACTTTTACATGTCCTATAACCGTCAGGCCACTGGATTGTCGACAGGTCTTTTCATTGTTATGCTCAAATAGGATCCGGTTCTCTTCCAACAACAAGGCGCGCTCCGCAAAAACCGTTTCGGCCGCGCGGCTCAGTGTCTGCAGACGATGCTTGCACACACTGTCTAGACTCTGGGTGTCTTGCTCTACCTCACTGCGCAGCAAGGCGAAATGATCGGAGGTGTTTGGAGTGTGGCAGAGATTAGAGGACACGGTCGGATGGTCCACAGGGGTCGTGGTCTGTATCTCGGGCCGGGACGCTTGAAATTCTCGGAAGAGGCGAGAGGGATCGAATGGAAAGAGGCCGCTTCTCGACCAGGCTGATCGTATATTACGGGGTGTAAATGCATCTTTTCGGGCGCGATCATAAAGATAGGTGAAGTGTGGCTTGCCGATGGTACCCGCCCCAGCCCGACATGCCTGCTCAACCTGTGCCCGGTATGCCGTTTTCAGAGGACTAAAGACACCCACATCGCACGGCTGCAGTTTGTGAGACGTATGAGAAGGGAGACGACATAGGATAATGCGGTTGGCAAAGCAGAACTCCATGACCTCCAGAGACTCATGGGTGCCGAAACCATCGCAGATTAAGAGTCGTGGCCGATCGCCCGCTCGGTCTCGAGTCTGCGGATCGAACACATGTTCCACCCAATATAGACTGATGTCGGTATTGGTATAGCCTGTTTTAGAGCAGGCAAAATGCCACCCGGGGGTGGCATGAGTGGTCCACGAACTGCGAAGGGTAGCGGCTGGCCAGATGATGAGAGGATGTAAGAAACGACCATCGGCGGAGATGCATTCGATCGCCGTGACCAGCGTCCGCTTCACCGTGGTCCCTCGATGCTTTCTCAAATCGTCTTTGCTGACGAGCACCTTGAGGGAGTTGAGAACGCTGAGAAGCACTCCTGTCTCATCCATGTTATACACATTCTCCGGGAGAATAGCCGGATCGGCCAGCTCTCGGCCAATGATGTCAAACCAGTGTCGGACTTTGTCTTCGATGTGCCGGCCATCTCGCTTCCAATCGATCGTTCGCAGCCGTCGCGCTTTCAACTGCGGGTGTCGTCGGTAAATACCACGCGGCCAATTCTTTCCTGGAGGTCGGACCTCGAGGTCAGCGTCTGTGATCTGGAAAATCGAGGATCGTTGGCGCACGATGATCAGGGCGAGGGATCGTAGAAACTTGACTGGAAGCGGATAGCCGTTGTCTGCCAACCGCAACACATATTCTACCAGGGCTTGCTCCTCTTGCGGGGTGAGGTACTGCTGATTGGCGGCTTTATCGGCGAGAGAAGGCTTGTTATTTGCCCGGCGCCACAAGGTGGACGCGGGGATCCCGGCTGATCTCGACTGAATTGCGTATGATTTCCGCGCATGACGTTGATGGGCTGGGGACATTGAGACTATTTTCCATACAGTATCCTGTAAGTCATCTACTGCTTGAAATGAAGCTATTCAGACTGTAAAAGGGCATAGAAGTATGGATACTGCGAATTAGGTGGATATCACCAAGTAAATGAATTCTAGGACACGTTATGCTCGATTGCTAAGTTAGTAGTACTAAATCGATTTTCTAAGCTATCGCGCTTTTATGTATGCACAACAAACACAAACAAATGGAAGGATAAAAGCCACCAGGGAGTTAGTTAAGAGCCCATACGGGAACATGGTAATATGAGAAGGTGAGAGTGGTGAGAGAGGTGAGAGAGGTGAGAGTGGTGAGAGTGGTGAGAGTGGTGAGAGTGGTGAGAGTGGTGAAGGGAAAACGATGATCTAGCAGTTTCTTAAAGGCCAAGGAAGAAGTAACAGGAACCACGGCATAAATATGAGTTCATTCCACGTCTGGAGTCCCTCAATTTTTGTTCGCTTGGAATACCTGATCGCTCAATCTTATGTGCCGATCACCTGAAAGACAAAATACTTTACCGAAAGCCAGGCGAAGGTAAGAAACACCTTAGGACTCATTCCCACAAGAACTGTATAGAATCGATTCCAGTACTTGCTGCATCTGCACTGTATTCAATTGCTAGATTCCGAGTGGCGTAGAGGTAGGTGATGACTCGGTCAGCTGCTTGGTGGTGTTGGGGACCTGGGTTCGTCAAGAACTGCGCTAGTCGTGCCGTTGCTTTTGCAGCATCTGGCCTAGTGATAGTGGTGGCATAGCCGGCGGATCCAACCTTCTTCTGGTAGAGAAGGATCTCCTTTGGGGTGGCTACACCTTGGTAAGGTGTCAATTCGTCAACTGGCAGTGGTGTATAGACAGGTGGACGATCTGTCAAGTTGTAGCGAGTAGCAATGCTTGTCACATAGCTATCTTGACATAACCAGAGCTTCTTTTGCTTCCTATCACGAATGATTCGTATATTGAGAAACCATGCTGCTTCTCCATGATCTGTAAGCTCCCAATGTGCTTCTAGATCTCGCTCCAATTGCTTGGCTTTTGCCTTTGCATTAGGATTGGTATGGCTTGCAATTAGGATATCATCTACATAGAAAAAGACTAGTAGTTCTTCTCCAACAAAGACGCAGGGGTCTTCTGGTGCTTGCTGTAAACCTAGCTTGCGTAGTACGCTAACTGCTTCTTGCTGCCAAAGTCGTGGCGAGATCCGTAAGCCGTACAATGCTCGACGGAGCTTCCAGCATTTGCCTGGTATTTGAAACCCTTCTGGCATATATGTATACGTTTCTTGATCTAGCTTGCTGTTTAGAAATGCAGTGACAGCATCTCGCTGGCGGAGATCTAGATCAAAGGCAGCCACTAGTGCAAAGATCATCCTCGCTGTCCTTGCGGCTAGCGTAGCGGCTCTCTTTTCTTCATGTGAAATCGTTTCAAGATCTCCACGTACACAGATACGGGCCTTCAGTTTCAGTAGGTAACCGTCCTGGTCAAATTTGTATGAGAAAACCCATAGTAGGGGGAGGATCTGCTTTCCTCGGTCCCTTGGCTTCTCAGTGACTTCAAATGTCTCCTTTTCAAATAGAGAATTAATCTCCTTTCTCATTGCTGTGAGAAATCCTTGCTGGAAGGGATGGTTCATGACATCTTTCCAGTACTTTGGCGGTGGGGGGAGGTCATCTCGATGACGCCGGATGCCTGGTTTCTCGGCATATAGGCCAGCTGCAAAAGCATGTAGTAGAGCTGGTGGCTCTTCGTCAATACCCTGTACTATAGTGGTTGCATATGCAAAATTATCATCTTTCCTTGCCCTGCGTGTTCGCCGTCCACTTAGTATATTGCTAGCATTTACACTGCTAGTGATCTCTCTGCTTGGTGCTAGCAGTTCTGCCTGGAGCTGTCTTTCTAGCTCGTCTTCCACGGCAGGAATTGCTTTTTCATTATGCTGCTGGGCCTGATCCCTAGCTAGCAAGTGATCATCTTGATCATGCATATCCACCCCCTGATCAGGGTCAGTACCTGATTCATCTACCCCCTGGCGTAAGCCAGTTTCTTCATATGGTGGTGTCGATGGTGGTGGTTCTTGATCCTTCTGAACCTCCTGGATCTCCTGGATTACACCTGGTAGTGCCGTCCTCGGCGGGCCTATCGGGGTAGGCATATATGCCTGCTCGCTCACCCCCTGAAGTGGGGTGGTTTCTCGTACAATATGAGCCTCATCTTGTTGAGTATCTTGTGGAGCATCGACGGCTTCATCTTGTCGATTTTGACGCTCACTTTCTGGTATACTAGTCCCTTCTTGACTAGTAATCTGATGGTTGACTACCTGGGTGATCTCTTCGTCTGTGAGTTCTACCGGCTCCTTCACTATCGGTAGTGGGACTGATTGGGATCGTTCATACTCTGATGAGTACTTGCGTGATTCATCAATGATAGCATTTCTAATATGCTTCACTTTCCCAGAGTGTGGAAACCAGATCTTATAGATATTGGATGCAAGGTATCCAACTAGGAATCCAATCTCTGCTCGAGGATTCATCTTATCCGACTGGATCTGCTTCTCAATACGACAGTATGCTAAGCTTCCATATAATCTAACATTTGCTAGATTGATTCGTGGGATCGTCGTCCCCTGCATGAATTCCTTTCTTACTTCCTCCCATGGTATCAATCACTTGTTCTCGGAAGCAATGTATGTCGGGGTACGGTTCAATAACCATACTGCGGCGCTTGCAAATTCAGGCCATAGGTCCTTTGGAAGCTTTCCTTCGAGAGAGAGCATCCGCATACGGGTGATAACCATGCCGCCAGATCTCTCGGCATATCCATTCATCTCTGAGTGGCCAGGTGGAGTATGATATACTAGGATACCATCGCTTGTCAAGCTGTACTCCGCTGCCTTGCCTGCTGCAGATTCACTGTCATAGTGGAAAGCCTTGATTGGTAACTTCCATTGATTCCTTGCTAGCTGTACGAACTGGTTGATTGCTAGCTGGCATTCAGGCTTCACTTCATGTGTCATGATCCAGTGGAACCTTGGTCCTTCTATATAGAAGTGAGATATCCAGCGATGCTTGTTGTACGCTGGGGGCAGTTGTATTAAGTCGAAATGTATTCTTCCAAATCGTCCAAAAGTGCGTCCTATTGGCCGGCGAGATATCTGCTTTGGTGTTCTCCCAATATGACAGGTTTGACATAGAGATTCTTGCTTCTCGTTGTCTTGTTTCTTGATGACGACGCCATCTACCATACTAGCAAGCTTTGCTATTGTGCGAGGCTCAATATGAGCAAGTCGTCGGTGCCAGATATCGGAAGAAGCCTTTGATTCCTGTGGCTTCACTGATCTCCTTTGTGATGCTTGTACGGCGTATGCTTGCTGTGGGATGACCTCACCTGGTTCGTCAAAGATCCAGAGATTGAATTGATCCCATAGATAGAGATTGACAACAGGCCTATCATTTGGATCCCGTATACAATTCGTGTGCTGGCACCAAGTGCCTCCTTTCTTCTTTAGCATCGCGTACGACACTAGATTTGTGTGGAAGCTAGGTGAGTATAGAGCATCACTTAGAGTGATCTCCATCCTCCCTTTCTCTGGGTGCTTGCCTACTAGGCGAACCTTGCCTTTCCCTAGCACCTTCGTAGTGCTATCTCCAGTTGTCAATTCCATATTCTCAGAGGTGAAATCAACGAACAATTCTCGATTGTTACACACATGGGTGCTTGATCCAGTATCGAGAATCCATCGATTTTGGAGAGAAGGCTCGCCGGCGTCAGACTTCGTAATAGATAGCACATGCTTGCTAACCTGTATATTACCTAGCGGCTTGCTCTGGGGCTTGCTCTGGTAGGTAGTGGCGAAGCTGACTTGGTTTGCATATTCATGCTTAGGCTTAGCTTCATCTACCGCCTTTTCAACCCATTGTTTCCAAGCGGGATCGTTAGCTAGCTTCTTCTTTGCTTTCTCTAGCTTCCCTTTGTCTAGGGTATATCCTTCTGGACGAATGGCTTCATTCATAACCCAGCAATTGACAACTTTATGGTGAGGATGGGTATTACCACATGGGCATTTCCTCTTCTCAAATGGAAGCTTGTCCTGCTTGGTTTCTGGCTTCGCTTCTTGGTGACCCTGCCAAGTTGAAAATGCGCTTTTTGGAGCATTGGTTGAGGTCACAGTTTGAACGCCTATCTCACGATTCATGGCGCGGAATGATTCGAGAAGATCTCGAGTATCGTATGGTTTCTTGTCCATGACGATTTCTTGGTATTTCCCTTGCCACCAGATTGGCAACACTTCTTTTACCGCATGTAAGAAGTCTCTATTGGAATCTGCATCGCTAATACCAAGGCTAATAGCTTGCTCTCTTAGTGAATTCCACTTTTGAAGCCATTGTTCAATATCTCCGGTTGGTTTCTGCATAGCAAAGACCTTCCAATTCATACGGATTTCTTCTTCGTACGCCGTCGACCGAGCAAATCGAGTCTTTAGGTATACAAGCCTATCATACGGAGTACGATATGCGATCAGAGCAAGATGATGCATTGGGTCGAGGTAGGTAAGGATGTACTCGTTGACATCACTTAGTCCTTTTGCTTGCTTCTCCCATTTAGTGTACTTCATTTTATACACATCCATCTGATCCCGCCAGATCCTTCGATCCTTGTCATCGCCGTCCTCGGGGTATTCCGGTTCTTCCGGTTCTTGAAGAGGTTCGGGTCGTTTTAGTGAATAGAGCCGGTTGTTGGGTTCGTTGTCGTCGACGACGTAGTGAGATCTGGATTACAGAGATCCCATACATTCTTTTGCATCGCATATAGCTGCACCTTTGCAAACCAGGTGAGCCACTGCGGCGAGTCCTTCAGTTTTTCGCCCTTCATGGCGGAGAGGATTGATGCTGCCTCCATTGCTGGATTCAGGGGTAGCTTTGTATAGCTTCACAATTGCCACCTTTGGTAGCTTCAGGGGTTGCAAGACGATTCTAGCTGCGTGCTAGATACTGTATATCAACTACAGTAGCCTTACTTAGTGCGAACCGGGCTCATAACTGTCGGCGTGGGCCGTATCGTAAATGTAGGGGTCCAATCAATGGTATTCAACTCTCTGTATTTCTGTATCAGCTCTCCTTACAATTTAACGTATTTCACAAGCGAGCTGCGCACACAAGCGAGCTGCGCACCCCAACCAAAACGCGTCCAGGAATTAGCACTTAGTCAATTCAACCACCTACCATGCCACCAATTCGCTCCCGAAGCTCTAGAAATTTAATAGAGCAAGAGGGTAGGATCTTACTAGCTATCCAGGCTATTAAGAAGCAAGAAATTAGCGCTATTCGGGAAGCAGCGCGCCGTTTTAATGTCCCCGAATCAACCCTCCGGACTCGGCTTCGGGGAGCTGAATTTCGCGCCAATTCTCGCGCCAATTCACATAAATTAACTGCAATTGAAGAGGAATCTCTTGAAAAATGGATTCTCTCTATGGATTCTCGTGGAGCAGCCCCCCGGCCCTCTATGGTACGAGAAATGGCGGATCTTCTTCTTCAAAAACGTGGAACTACCCCGGTTCTTTCGGTCGGCCAAAACTGGGTTACAAACTTCGTTAAACGACATCCTCTTCTATCCTCCCGATTCTCGAAACGATATAATTACGAGCGTGCAAAATGCGAAGATCCTAAAATCATTACGGAGTGGTTTAATCTGGTTCAAAAGACAATCCTTCAATTTGGAATCGATCCTGATGATATCTATAACTTTGGTGAGACCGGTTTTGCAATGGGATTGACTACAACTGCAAAGGTTATTACGCGGAGTGAATACTACGGTCGGAGGCCGGTTTTACAACCTGGAAATCGTGAATGGGTGACAGTGGTTGAATGTATAAATGCTTCTAGATGGGCGCTTCCTCCGTGTATGATTTTTAAAGGCAAAGTCTTTATTGAATCATGGTTTGACGGCCTCCCGGAGGATTGGCGCTTTGAAGTTAGTCCTAACGGCTGGACTTCCGATGAAATTGGACTTCGTTGGCTTGAGAAGCTCTTTATTCCTAGTACTTCTTTACGTACAAAGGGAGGGTATCGGCTTTTAATACTTGACGGTCACGGAAGTCATTTAACACCTAAATTTGACAAAATTTGCGAGCAAAATAAGGTTATACCAATCTGTATGCCAGCGCATTCATCTCATCTTTTACAACCTTTGGATATTGGTTGTTTTGCGGTGTTAAAACGTGCGTACGGTCGGATGGTTGAAATCAAGATACGGAACGGGATCAACTATATTGACAAACTTGACTTCCTCGAAGCATACCCCCTCGCACGAATTGAAGCATTTAAATCGGAGACGATTGGAAATAGCTTTGCAGCTGCTGGTTTAGTCCCTTTTAAACCGGAGAGAGTGATTTCAAAGCTCAATATCCAGCTTCGAACCCCGACCCCCCCACCGAGCCGGGGTAGTGATTGGGATCCTAAAACCCCTTCAAACTATATTCAATTACAAAAGCAAGCTTCGTCAATTAAAGCATTGCTTCGTACAAGATCAAGGAGCCCTCCAAGTCCTCTCAATTCTGCCATAAACCAGGTTTTAAAGGCATGCCAGCTTACTATGCAATCCGCCGCATTTCTCGAGAAAGAAGTAAGCGATTTACGCGCCGCCAATGAGAAGCAGAAGCAAAAGCGTACTCGATCCCGGAGGCAGATACCTGCTGAAGAAGGCCTCTCAGTACAAGAAGCTTCTCAATTGATCACTGAGCTAGTGGAAGCAGATAAAGCACCTCCCCCCGGCCCCGGCATACCTAGTGAACCGGCTTTGAAACCACGTACGCGGGCGCCACAAAGGTGTAGTGGGTGCAGAGAAACAGGGCATGTATACAATAGATGTCCAGCTAGATAGATGATTTTAGTGTATTTAATTTAATGGCGTTATGGTTGAGATAAATGGTTTTAAATTCAATGGGTTAGATGGGGTGCGCAGCTCGCTTGTGTGCGCAGCTCGCTTGTGAAATACGTTATATGGAGCCTTGATTACATAACATTAATTACAAAAAACATGTAGGATTAATAAATCCTCCGGTATGCCGGTCGTCATGCTCCGACACTTGCTGGATGCCTCAGGACAATACTTCTTGGCACTCGGCCAAGTCATTGGTAGCGAGTGCCTATTACCAAGGGGTTTTCTCTGGGCCAAACCCTTGCTTGGCGCTGATGTAATACATTCTGTATTTAGCTAGTAATTACTACTACCCAATGAAAACCATGCGATCCTAACAGAATCTCAGGCTGATCCCCTAAGCTTTGCTGGGGCTTAGTAGTCAGCATTGCTGGCTACCTGAGGCGGAGAAATAAGGCCTGAGTGTCGGAACGTGGTCGTTACAGTACGGACTAGTAGGGCATAGCCAATTGAGTAGTTACTTGACCCCACACAGAACTTGTTGATGTTCCAGTGGAACTAAAATAGGAGGGTCGGCGTCGGGAGGGAGTAGAACGGCTCCACCGTGGATGGGACTCCCGGTAGTCGGGCGTCGTGGAGATGGCGGTGTCGAAGTTCCTAGTCAATCGTAGAGTATAGACGGAGCGAGACGCGGTGTTCCTCGCGAAGCCCGAAGACCTTAAGATAGGATCCTGTCGAATACCAAGTCCGAATACATGGTAGAAACCAGGTAATATATCGGAAACATCATGTGACATTGGGTACCAGGCATACCATACAAAAGTGCATATTACAGTTAGTCATCATGGTCCGCACAGATTGTTGAAATAGCGGGTTTTGTCATTTTAGTTAGTTAGAGTTGTCAACATTGGTCATTTATACCATACATTGTTCGTACACCAGCTTTCCGTCACAAAGTCCTAATTCCAGTCTACTAGACTGCGCCCACCCCCATGGGATAGAGTATCGACAGCTTTCGAGCAAACTCCAGTATGTCCAGTGTGGCACATGCCGAGGGCGTTAGACATCGGCTGGTCACAATGATTGTCAACTCTAAAGTGCTGGCATGTATGACAGTGGTGCGGTACGCAGTCCGCGTTAGCATAACAGCCATTATCATGGCACGCCATCTCAGCCCGCTTCGTAAGGTTATTGTCCAGATGATAGGTTACCAACCAATCACCGGCGGGCTCATGCTCAGGCAGTTTGAGCTCAGGATTGTGCCTATTCATTCCGCTTGCAAATAGCACCCTGGCGTAAGGGGGGTCAAATACGAATGTCGTTTTGCCAGTCACAGTATTTTTGATTTCCGCTGTAGCTGAAACCTTATCGATAGAGAAATGCTCCTCCGGGTTAGGTATAGATGCCTTCTCGATTTGTTTCTTTATGTGTATCGCTGTCTCAGGATCGAACCGGGTGTCAATAAAGTATAACATGTTTCAACCAGCTGCTGCCACATATAGAGTATCTGGCGCCACAACCTGGAGGCCATGCGTCTGTTCAAGAACCTCAGGTACGTATTTGCCCCGATATTCCTCTTGGAAGGTTGGCGAGCCTTCACATGGTCGGAATGGGTTCAGAAGCATGGTGATCAACAGTGGAAAGAACATTGTAACACAGGGACAAATTGACTATGAATCTCGCAAGATCCCAGCAAGAGGCATATGATAGAAACTTACTGGCGAGCTACCCAGCACTAAAATTCGAAATCAAAGATATGATCAACTATTGGACACTGCATTCTGATAGCAATGCTACTGTTGCAGGCCGTATAACCTTGAGACTGCAGCCTGATGTTGTGCCATAGGTCGATGTATTGGATGATTTCATATAGGTGGGCAATAATTACCTTAGAATACAATGACCAGGAAAGTAAAGTGACAGCGGCATAGCAGCGTGTTTCTAAAAACATATTATACAAAAGCACTGCCAGGCGCAGTATTTAGGATGCAGCAGTTTCATTAATCAAGGGCGTTGCTAATGGACCGGCTTTCACAAAACCTTAGGGTAGGCTACTGGCTACCACATGATCCTACTCTGCGATGCAACCCCTCTCCATTGTAGCTAATAGGAAACGTAGTGACTGAAAGGGACGGGTTTTATTATAGTGAAAACGATAGGCAACAGTCAGTAATTTTGTGAGAGACAAGGCTATTCTAGTTGAAAGTTCAGCCGCAGCTCGGATCTTACAGACTTTGCGATTTGCCGTGTAGGACCAACTCTTGAGGATGCCTATTCTTACGGTCTACTCCATGCTGAACAACCCTGTACGCATCCCTGCCAGATCCGATATCCTTACAATAACCAATTGCTTCTAATCGCCATATAGGGCCTAAATCTCTATCGAACAGAGTAAGCACCGCAGATTTCTATATTGCTCAGAAGTGACAGCCGTTACATGGATACCAGTAAGGCCTCCCTGTGTAGCAGCTAAGTACCTTTCATGTAGAATTTGTGTCTGTACAGAATTGTACCCCTAATCATGTCTATGGATAGTTGTATTGACCAACCATAGGCCAAATTGTCGGGTTACCGAATTTTTACAAGCGGACAATTCTGAACCCTGCGCCGGTGAGTCTTACAGGTCATGGGATGGACAGCTACTGTTCCACGAATGACGGTGGAAATATAGGAAGCTGGTTGACTGGTGGAAAACCTAATGACTAAACCAAATTCTGATATGATCGAGCGACAACAAATTAAATAGAATATGACAGTAGTGTCTATGCCCCCCTCAACCTACCCTGAGGGTCATTGAGGTTCACTATGCGGACCCTCGGCGACCCTCAACGACCCGCATTTGCATAAATTTTCGACGCCTTACCTCTTTCGGTTGGATAAAATTGATGATTCATCTCTGTGTTTTACAGCTGTTCCGTCAATTTGTAGAAATTTTACTGAATACTCCATCAATATGGTGAATTATAAAGAAATATTCATGTAAAAGTGAACCGTAGGCATGCTCACCTATAAATTATAAGTAATATTCGATGATATCGATATAGTAGGTGGTCAGTGGCGGTTGTCGACAAAAATGTATGTAAAGTTGTAGATATATACATATCGGATAGTATAACCTATGTGTATCTTCATTTGTAGAACCACTGTTTTCTAAGAAAACTATAAAAGTAGTTCAAATCCCCTTATTTCAATATCATTTGAACTGTTATATCTTCTTCGATCACTTTTTCAAGAATGGACAAATGATCTAAGTATGTCGTAAATCCGGTTCAAAGATTGCAATTATTAGACTTGGTCGTTCTGATCAAGACTATTTTCTTATCTTGAGGGTCTATTTGAGGTTTGTTGAGGTTCATATGTAGCGGATAATACCTGGCAGTCGAGATCTTTCCTATTCCACTTTGGTGCTCACATCTTGCCGCTTTTTGATCTCAGAGTAAAATTGAGCAAGCCCCTACTACTAGCGCTTTCCGCGTTCTCTTGGAATCGACATAAATGCCCACAGGCTAGTAAGAATCAACTTCTTTTATCCGACATAACATTCTACATGGCAGGTGGCAAGGTGAAAGAATATCGTATGAGCCTTTGCATTTGCATAAAAGTATAGGGAAACCTAACCTAATAGGGAAAACCTATACCAAGGCAGAAGAAATGTGCTAGCAGGCCGAAAAGGACATCCTAGGAACCAAAATGTCAGGTAAAATTGCCATACATACCATGATTTTCAATTCTTACATTGGTATTTCCAACTTTGCACTGCGAGGTGTAGACTGCGTTGAATTAAGTCTAATTAAGAGTCAGCTCTGCGTGTCAAAAGTCGGCCCTCAAAATTGGGTCAATCGCAATTTTTTTCAAAAATCATAGCCCACCTGCGTTAGTGCATGCTCGAAACCTCCTCTCCAACTTAGGGAGTCACTTACAGGCTATTCATATTCCATCAGCATTAGCCCTAGATTCGTGAAATCTTCACCCGTCCGTAAGGGAATCACTCACATACTATCCATATTCCATCAGCATCAGCCCTAGGTTCGTGAAATCTCCACCCATACGTAAGGGATTCACTTACGCCCTATCAATATTCCATCAGCATCAGCCCCAGATTCTTAAAATCTCTTCTCTAAATTAAGGGAACCACTTACAAACTAACCACATTCCATTCGCATCAGCCCTAGATTCTTGAAATCTCTACTCGCACGTAGGGGAACCACTTACGCTCTATCCATATTCCATCAGCATCAGCCCCAGATTCCTAAAATCTCCTCTCCAATATAGGGGATTTACTTACCCACTATCCATATCCCATCAAGATCAGCCCTAGATTGATGAAATCTCCACTCATATGTAAGGGAATCACTTACGCCCTATCAATATTCCATCAGCATGAGCCTCAGATTCTTAAAATCTCCTCTCCATATTAGGAGAATCACTTACAAACTATCCATATTTCATTAGCATCAGCCAGAAGCTTTGAAGTCATGCCAAATGATCTTTCAGCCGTATTGTCATACCTTATCAGTATCTTGAATTTCTTTGTCCGCCTCTTTCACAGGGCTTGCTATCGCAAATGTGACAAAGACAATTGCAGAAAGGATGGCCAAAAACTTCATATTGACAATTTATCTCTCGCTCTTAATATCCTGCAGCACTTGAGAATATTCAAATTTCCTTATGGAACTCGCAGAGGACTGCCGTATATATAGGAAAACTTGATTTCGGCAAATACCAAGGGCATAGAATGACGACTAGACGAGAATTGGTTACATACTGTTACACGGGTTACCTTGTAAAAGCTAGAACAAATCATACTTATAAGCATATATAAAACATGTCACATAGGACCTATCTACATATCCTATTCGGCAATTTTATATTTTCCGATCCCTTACTCTTGGTCGCCTAACAATATTATTCTATGTAAGAAGACCTACCAATATACCCCTGCTGTACAACAGTGAACAAACTAACAAGCAAAGAGTTGTTATCATTGGAGTGGCACTAACTACTTGACGGTTTGGTAGCCTTCTATGTACGCTAGGGAGAAAACATCGTAAATCATAGCTAACAAAGTCAAGATACGCAAACAGTAGATCAGCATACTACTATATATGTAAATATTGTTTTATTTTCCAGGCTATAATGTTACGGAAAGATCAGCTTAGCTAACCACCAGAGATCCTTTCAACCTCTCAACCCACAAAGTCCTTCATTTGGTGCTAAAGGCAAAAATATGAAAGTAGTGAGCTCGGGGCAACCCATGTTACCGACTACTCCGAGCTTAGGGCGACATGAATTAGGCCTCCTAGTGTAAATCTTGAGGGCTAGCCAGTAAGGCGTCCAGCAGGCGATTACTCACTTCCCACAAATTGGATCTTTAGCAATATGAACCCGGGAAGCTTCTTATATCAGTTAGGATTGAAATCCTTTGGGGTGGTACGACGTAGGCTTATTATATGTCGACTTGAGGCTCCCTTTTCTGGGCGAGCAGTCCTTGTTGGTTTTCTTGATACGTAATACCACGACATGTATAGTTCATACGCTTTTGAACCTAAGCTCAAATTATAGGAGTAAGGCCTGTTTCTATTTAAAAGAACTCAGGAGCTCATATTGTACAGAAGGAGAGTGGTAGTAAACCATTAGTCGGTCTATTGCTACTCACATCTTTCAAATCGGTTAGACAATATGCCGTTAAGGAGAGGCTCGGTCACAGTAGACAAGTAACCCAACCGACCAATACACCCCCGATGAATTGAGACTGAAGCAAGAAGAAAGCGATGGCGTGTGACCAAACCATCGAACGGGGTTAGCATTTGTTTCCCAGTTGGAGAGCTTCATGGTACTATTCTGGGTTGAGCTCATAAAGTACGGACTGGATCACTGCTTCTGTCTGAAGAGAGAGAAAAATGCCTCCATAGCTATTAGCCAATTAGTTAAGCTGCATCAGGCCGATAAAACTTTGGTTGGTTTAGTTTTTGATTGACACTTCCACATTACGTAGCTTTATAAGTTATCAAAAAGATGCTCTTGTTCCTACACCAGCGGGATTTGAGCTAGCTGATTGATCCTAGCTTGGTGTTGCGGGAGCAGCCTCGCCAACTTGTCAATGCAACATTTCAAACACGCGATCAAAGAGTAGGGCTGGCCAGGCGCTCTTATAATATTCAAACTACCCGGTTGCGAACATACAACACTAAAGGAACCGAGGTCCCAGATTGAAATTATCAACAGAATTACTGACATACATCATGCCTATGTGGCGCGCTCAATGGCCCAGTCTCTCACCTTCCAAAAGTTCCGGCAAGTGTGCTCAACTTGGAAGTCAGGCAGAGAAGTGTTATGCTTCTCATCCCAAAAGAAGGGGATCAGGGTAACGTCCACATTGCACATAACGGCTTGTCGGAGGTGATCGAGGCAGTGATCTGAAACTAATCGTTAGCGGCTTTCATGGCTTCTTCAAAATGACTTACCTATGTGCGTTGTATAGTCAGGCTCTGGTGCGTGCTTGGTATAATAGTCCCGGCGTAAACCGCGGCGGATTTGGTTCTATCACCAGGCCTCTGAATCAATTTTTTTTGCATAGGAGACGAAGTGAGAGTAAATTTTGGACTCACTAAGCAGTGCAGCTCATGAAAAACTTCAATGCCTACGAGAAAACCTCCCCCAGGCTCCTGATAGGTTTTTCCTCGCATGGTCTCAGCCTCAATTCCGCGTAGACTTACAGACACAGCTATTGTCTGGGTTAATAAGAGAGTCCCCGAGTATAAGCCTTAATGACTAGCTATTCACCCACTCTTAAGTAAGCTACTCCAGCGAGCATCCAGCTCGTCACTCGGTTCACCGGTATATCTCGGAGTATCAGAATCCCAGAATATCTTCTTGAGAGTGTCGTTCTCGGCAAATTCCAGATTTCCGAGGAAGCGTACCTTTTGAATCTCAATGGCAGGTTTTATTGGGCCTAATAAAGATCAGCAGGAGAAATGGAGATAAAAATTAGTATGCCAGCTGTTTTACTTGCCTAGCTCGGTGTCAAAAACACCAGCGAGACCATCGCAGTTCGGGCGCTTCTGTCTCGGAAAACAGATTGCGACAGCTATTGTGATGACCCAGACCATAGAAACAATCATATATGTCAGCCACGACATGTGACAACGCATTGGGGTTGACTGAGGGGACCTGTCCAGCCTGCCATGCGAGGGGAAGTAGTCTTCTTCGAGCCCCTTGATGCTGGCTGAGTCGTCACTTTCATCCTGCCCACCCTTTAAAGACGAAGTGTCTAGACTTCCTTCCAGTGCTTGGTACATGATAGAGAGTTATGGTGTGATAAAGTGAAAATGAAAATGTATAAACAGGGTGCCCTAAACGCAGTTTAGTAACTACGTAATTCAATCTTTAAAACATCACAACGTCGTACTAACTGTGACCATTAGACATTTGTGTATCAAGCGCTACACCAGAGATATGATAAGGAAACCATGGCTTTTATATAAGGAACGCAATCTTACTTTGTGGCTTATGACATGCAGGATATCAGGATACACAACACGTATAATGCCCTTGAAATCCTGAAACAAAGCCGCGCATTTAGACGTGCCGCTTGCAGAATGGACGTCAAATTATCTTGATCATTGTCATCTAAGACTCGGTTCTATGTGACAATATGATCTCTTGTGCTTCTCCATTACTTTCGTATCTGTATCTCTACCAAATTTAAAAGTATTATACATCTGAAACAGAATTTAATGTTATACATAGTACCTAAATTCATATATAGAGAGCCTTTCTGGGGATTTTGCATATTTCAAAAAGTCTAGAAGTAGATTTTGGTTCTGCGCAACCATATGATTTGCAAGTTGTGAAAATTTTTTATCCCAGATTGTCCCACTTCGGCAGTTTATCTGTGATAAAGAAAGCGCTGTGCTAGAGGCAAATTTCTATCCGGTCGTTCAAGTGAAACCTAAGCTTAACCCTGTCGCACAAATATTGACAATAATAGAAGGATGGTGTCTATCCGGGCATCTTTAGGCATCCAGACTTTAGCAGATGACTAGTTGAGGCTCAAGGTCGGGTGCCACAGTTAAAACCAGATGATAATCATATTGTATGTTCCGGGTTTGGGAGTACAGACAGATAAACCATGTATTGGTGGAACAATGACCGTCCTATCGGCGCTATAAGTGATGCAAATTTTCTTCTCGAGTGCCTGCTGATGTCCTAACTGCGCTTAACTGCGCGGGATTTTGTATGAAGCAGGGTGACACCAACCAATATAGTGTTAAACTCATCATCTCAGTTGTTGAGGCAGAGCTTTTCGTAAAGCACCTCGGCAGAGTGAGACTCCACCGCCTATTTGATTCTCGGTCGTCCGCCTCCATTCAGCAGTTAGCAGTAAAATAAGTCGATGGAGGCTCATTGATATTAGTAGATAGAGGTACTATGGTAGAATAGTACTGATCGAATTGTTGGGCTCGATGCACCTCTTGGGTATGTTGTCGGTGATTTCGCCGTTGCGTAATATTGAATATTTGTTTATCCTGAGCAGATGTATATTTTCGTGGTCGTCCTCTTTTCCGCGCTGGAATATCTGATGGTACCATGATAAGTAAGTGTATAATCGGGTCGTCGAACGCGGCCACCAGGCGGTGTCCGGGTTCCCGGGCGTAACCTCACACCGACCGTAAACTCATTTTTATCAACTCAACCTTCTCCATTAATTGACTACACCCCTGGTTTTTCATATTATGCCTTAAGAATTAGAAGACCGCATCACCAATGCTTTAGCATTATGCTGTGCCACTAAGAAACCTAACGTCAAAGCGATCGCTCGGCAATTCGATATTTCATACAGTACACTAAGGGGCCGTCTCAAAGGTTCTAAGTCTCGAAACGAGCGCACCCCGACCAACAAAGTACTAGAACCTGAGCAAGAGAAAGTATTGATTCTATGGATTGATACCTTAGATCAGGCCTTCTCTCCCCCTACCGCAGGGTAGATTCAGGGTGCTGCTCTACAAATTGTCCGACGATATGAACCGTCCCGGAACCTAGGGAAAAACTGGACGTACGACTTTATTGCCCGTCTACCTCCACGTTTTAAGACTATTAAGCAAAAGCTAATAGAAAAAGCACGATACGAGGTCTGTGAACCTGGTTATATTGTTTCTTAGTACGATCGCCTTTAAATTACGCTTAAAACCTACGGAATCATACAATTTCGACGAGACTGGGTTTCGAATTAGCGAAGGGAAGGCCCAGAACGTTGTTTCAGCCCGGGAAAATTCCAAAAATAATACTGGTAGACAATCTGAGTCGCTTACTGGCATTGAATGTGTTTTAGCCGATAGTTAGGTCATGCCACCGTGGTTCTTAGTTAAGGGCCAATTCTATGTATATAGAAAGTTGGTTTATCGACACCAATTTACCAGGCGTCTATACTATATAGCCAACCCCGAATGGTTGGACCGATGAGATTGTTAGTTTTGCCTAGGTTCAGGTCTTCGATGAATTCACATCGTTTCGTGTTAAAAGAGGGGAATATCGTCTTCTTTTAATGGATAATCATAGTTCATATTTGACCTATGATTGTATTGAATTTTACTAGAGAAAACGAATCATTCCTTTTTGTTTTATCCCACATACGATATATGGTTGCCAACCGCTCGACGACACACCCTTTTAAGTGCTAAAACATTATTATAAGAAGTATAATAATGAGGAGGCCTTTTGGGGTGGTGATGCGCGGTCAAAGGCCAACTTCTTCGCGGGAATTCACGATGTCCGAATGTCAGCATTAACAATGCGTACTATTCGATATAGATTCCGAGAAACTGGTGTTTGGCCTGTGAATTCTGATAAAGGCTTAGCAAAACTAGGCCTTTTAACTGACGATAATGAACTACCTGAGATGCCTAGATTCATTATTCATGATATTACTTCCGGAACTACACCACCACCACCGTCAAGCTCATTACCTAATACCCCGCCAACGACCGTATAAAAGTTGAGAAAGGCAAGCACTAAGGTTATAAAGCATATTCAAAATGACTCGACAATTTCACCAAAGGTGCGAGAAAGCCTTTCTCAGATATTGGCGGGTGGCCTAGTTCTCGCTGAGGTAGGGGCTCAATTTGCGGACGATAATATACGCATAATACAGCGCAAAAAGCGGTCCAATACTGCTAAAACTAAGCGAAGGCTTAAAGAAATAGGCCCTTGCCTAGTTAAACACTGCAGAAAGCGTATTAATGAACGTACCGACCGAGAAAGACTGCAAGTATTCAACCGTTCTAAGAAGGCCTGGCGGGAGGAAGCAATTTTGAGAGCAATTAAAGACGGAGAAATTGATGGTGAAGGGGCAATTGGGTCAGATCATGATGACGAGAGGCCTCAGGAATGGATTGATGATATCTATTGTATTGATATGGAAGGTGAAGCTATTAAAATTCAATGAATTAGGTGTTTGAATTGATAAAAATGAGTTTACGGTCGGGGTGAGAGGTTACGCCCGGGAACCCGGACACCGCCTGGTGGCCGCGTTCGACGACCCGATTATATGCTAAGTGTAAGCATGCTAAATATAATAGTCGATAGTAGGAAAGGTCTCTATGAGGGTAATACGGATAGGGGTATAGGGAAATATAGGCAACAGCAGCATAGAAATCGAAGCTATCATAGTATAACTGATAGGGTATGCTGATATTCTGTAAAGGGTTTAGTTTTGACCACGAAATTCAAAAGGGTTTAGTGTATTCTTAGATAAGCACTTAGCATGAAAAATGATCAAATTCAACTGATTCTAACTCCGTGAATATTGTATGTATAAAAAAAGAGTCAAAGATCCTAAATGCTGGAGTATTAAAGCCCAGTTGTAGCACTAAGTTTAGGTATATATAGTTGTGGTGATGGTAAGTTGAAGTCGAGTATTTTGTACTGGTCTGCATAATTCACAATCACAATATCTCAATCAAGCAAATCGCGAGGCTGATCAGCCAGATCATCATGAACATGAACAGTCCGATCGAAGGTAAGGATATGATGTTCCAAGGCCCATTGTCTGACAGCATCAAAGTCACGGCAAGTATGAAGCACGGCAGCCACTTCCTTGGCCATTTGATCCTTTTCCACCCAAACCCATGGTAGGGGAGTCACATCGACAGAGCACATCAGGCTCTGTCTTATGGTATCGATACAGTGATCAATATGCTCGATCCCCATCAATTCGTCTTCGGAAAGATAAACTTCCGTTGACCACACTCTTTTGCGGACCATATTCTATTAGAGTAAGACTAGCCAGAATCGAATGTGTGATTTTGTTCGTAAGGAATCTTGACTTACTAGACAGTGAAGCTGGTGGAAAACGTCCAGGCTTACCGCGTATTGGCCTGGATCATCAGGAATAGGGACAGTTTTGTTGGCAAGCCTTGCTGCATCGACCTTACTAATTCGACTAATCCCAACTAATAAACTGGTAAGATAATAGGAAATTGGGGATGATGTAGTCAAGCTTACAGTTGTATAGATCACTCCATGCTTGGTTATTTTTAGCGGTAGGAGCTCCTTGGTATTCAGTCAGTTCCGCTCCGAGCCCTGTGCTAAAGACAATGTTTTTATGCCGGATTAGAAGCTCTGCAGGTGCTGAACGCCTGATGAGCATATGAGAATGATCTTGATGTAACAGATGAATGACTTACAAAACACTTGTTCTATGTCTTGGACCTGTCTGGTGGATTTATCAATAGAACCGAGCCTGATCGCTAACGAAAAAAACAGCAGGAGGAGAATCGCGATCCATTGCCCGATCACTATGTTCCTAAGTCTCCTGATAGCAGATGTTCTTTTCGTATGGCTTTTGAGATACCCGGGATTTGGCTGAGAAGAGAATGACAAAGGCTCTTCATCCTCGGCCACCGCGATCCCTCGCCTGGTGCTGCTTTTCAACTTCAAGAAATTCATACTTCCAGCGAAATCATGCATCGTTTGACTCTTGTGCCCGTAATATTGAGGAACCAGATTCAAAAATAGGTAACGGCAAGATTTGGATCCCTCACCCCAAGAGGATTTTATATCTATCATACAAAGGCATCTGAGGGTCGATCAGGTCTTTGATTTGAATATTGCGATCTCATCAACCGGAGGGAATGCAATGGAACAGGGATTTTATATTTTCTTAAAGAAAAAAATCTGCATCTTTTCTTTTTCGATTCTTCCCTCAGTCTGGTTTGGAATATGTCGTTAGCGCAAGCTCACGTCTTAGCGTAAGCCGTAAATTGGAGGTAGTCTCAGTCATGTGTGGGAAATATGTGTCTTGTCCGCGGAAGTAGGTAACTCGTGTGACGAGAGCCGAATTCTGATGAAGAAGTGCATTTGTCCTGGGAAAACTAAACCGAGGGCAGAAAGGCAAAAAACGAAAACTTAAAGCTTGACATAAATCATCTATCTAATCCTTCCTCATTAGGAAAAGAGGAAAAGAGCGTCGAAATTGTGCATTTGATGGTTCGGTCGAGGGTTTAGATATTGGGCCCCTTGGGGCGAGTTATTCCCGGTCTAATCCTAAAAATATCTCACACAGAGGTTAAGGTAGGGGTTAGTGAGATGATTTAGTCACCGGCTACTCCGTTTTCTTATGTATACCGATTGAGTGATGCCCCGCACGCGAAAGTCGTACTGTACGACCGATGTAACCTTTCCCATACTCACTTCCCATTCCCAAACTCAATCCTTGTAATCCATCGCCGTTCAATTTCAGGCGTATTGTTACACAGAGCGGCTGGATTCTACCACCATTTCATCGAAAGATCAACATTTGATCCTAAATCCTAAATTATAGACCCAGAATGTCACGAGCCAATAGGCAAGGCACGTTTCACCCATTTGACCGCTGTGCCAGGAGCAAAAGACTAGAATACCAAGAACGTCTCTTGCACCGCGCTCGCTACACAAGGGATGTAGCTCGTCACACAGAACACTCATTCAATTATTAGATAATCAATTGTTATACTAATAACCTTAGAAGTATGAGTACCAAAAGTTCCTATCTCACTCGAACCCCAAGATTCCCTTCACAGAAAGCTCGCAAGGCCCCTTCCAGTATGTAGAGCGCGCAAACACGATTGAATGTCAATGGTGAGACTGGCGTGCAGTAACTCAGTAAACTACCCTAGTATCCTGCCCCGCCGGGAAAGACCAGAATTCTGCGTTTGATTTTGATTTAATTTACGGTATAAGATCTCTGCCAAGCACCCAAGTACTATAAATATCCGCTTCGCATCTCACTTTCGATAATTTATAGCTGTGCGAAAAAAGAGTTTCACTCAAAACCCTATCACTAGAGATGTCTGCAATGACTCACAATCATTCTTTCTACCAAGCGCGCCTTGAATTTGTTCATGATATACTAACAGAGAAATTTGATCTGGCGGTATGTATCCGTAGAAATTGGCTTTGGAAGTCTACTGACGAGGCCTGTGAGAAGAACGCTCGAGTTGATCCAGTTGCCTACGACCATGAGTGCCCCTTCAAGTACAATAATTTTGTGTACTACGTCTCCCTCCCATCTCCTTTGATCAAGGATAACTTTACCTGTCAGAGCCAGACAAGCTGTGTTGCAATTCCCTCTGGCTGTAGCGAACTGATTCTTCGTCTCGCCAACCCAGACGCAGAAGGTTTGCAACAAGCGTCGAATCGTATTGAGAATGAAGTCGCCATTATGACTCTCGCCGCGAGAGCCCTAGACCCAAGTTTCAACCCACATGTCGTACCCCGCATTTATGGCTGGAGGGGGAGCATGTCAAAGGAAGGAAAGCGCCAGCAAGGTTGGATCCTTCAAGAATATATGCCAGGCACGCCACTAGACGAGAATTTGGATAACATGAGTCTCAAAGGCAAGAGAAATATCCTCGGCCAAATTGCCAAACTTCTGAAAGGGCTCCAGGACTTTGCACTGCCAGATTCCATCACTGACTTCGGAGGACTCACCTTCGATAATGAGGGTGACCTCATAAGCGCCCCGATGACCAACTGTAATATCGGACCATGGCCAACATACGAGGCATCGTTCAAAGCACAACTCGAGCATGCTCTCAAAAAGTCCGATGAGAACCCCTACATCCAGGGTTGGCGTCCAAACGGCGTTCGCGCACGGCTGGAGGCCTTTATTGAGCGAGAAGTTTCGACAGCCTTTGAGCAACTTGAGGCTCGCGACCAGAAGGTCATTACTCACGCGGATTTCAGTAAATACATGGCTTCCCTGGTTTCTAAGTCGAGGAAACATACTTATACATTGTTTCTCACAGCACCAAGCAACCTTTTATTCGATGCGTCCTCGGGCCGTATCACGGCGCTTATTGACTACGAACTTTCGTGTATTACTCATCCTTCATACGAGTTTTTCCGCTCCTTCGACGGTTTTGGGGGGCGAATTCGTGGCTGCTCAGTTATCGAAGGCCGCAAGGAAATGTCGCTCGATGAAGCTATGCTGCACGGCTTCCCAGACCCTCTTCCAGACTGTAAGGATGGTGATGAATTTGAGGAATGGGAGCTAGCCAAGGCCTGGGAGGACGAGCTCGAGAGGACCGGCTGCAAGCGTCCTATAATGATGCCGGGAATTGATAAAGTTGCTAATGTTTATGCTTTGCTTCGCTCAATCCTGCCTTGGCGCGTCACCAATGCCGACATTGTTGCTAGGCAATCTGATGAAGTTATTCGAGAATGTCAGAGTGAGAACGAGGTGGTGGTAATTCAGATTCTAGAGCACAGCGGGTTTTAGGACTTTCAGTGATGACCATTTGATGAGGAAGATGATACCGGTTTCGGATCGAATTATTTCACTTAGGGCTTCAGGAGGAGAACTGTATGGAGAACAACTCGACCAAGGCTGATGTTCAGACGCGCGAGATAGTACTCGATATGTCAATCAAGCACTCACTCTACTATCACTAGGACTCCGAAAGTAATATGATTATTCATGAATATCCATGAATATTTGCGAATATGGATAATATTGTTGAGTATCGCGGAGGTCAAAGCTTATGGCGAGACTAGCAATGGACAGTTAAATAGATGGGATACCACTTTTTATAGTAACCTCAACAAGAACATTACAGCTACCTATCTCAACATGAAGAAAAGGGCTTATTCAAATTCATATTATTCAATTCATATTTGTTGAGATGGGTAGTTGTAATGTTCTTGTTGAGGTTACTATAAAAAGTGGGAATCCCATCTATTTAATGTGCATAGACCTATTTCCCGCTGAGGACCTGCTGATCTTTGGGGGGATTCACAAGCTCCCACGTTTTATTTTGGTGAAGTGAGTCCACTTCCTCAAGCATGGCTCTTTCCCATTCCAACCAGCTTGTGTCGTTTCTTGCTTGATTCAGAGTCTTGGGTTCGAATGGTTCCGTCTCCTGTTTGTCCAGTGTGACTTTTGAAGTCCGAATCTTTAGTTCAGGATGATGATCTAATGCTCCTTGTTGAATTTCATGGACTGGCCAGTAGAGCTCTGGAAATCGTTGCCATTCTCCTGAAATTGACCCTGGTTGTTGTTACTGGTCGCCACCGAGTGTTGACCCAACCCAAAGGACAGATTCATGATGAACAGGTGATAGAGGTCCGAGGGCGTCGTCATCTCGTGTGGACGACAAGTTCCTGTCTCCCTGTACAGCACGATTGGCTGCGAGTCATCGTCACTCGGCTGAGACGACGCTGCGATCTGCGAGTTATCGTTACTTCGAGGTAGTATGTGCAAGATGTTGTTTCTCGGCTTAGGTAGGAGCCGCTCCGGTGGTTCCATCAACAATTGGCACCTCGAAGCAGGCACGGATGCTTGCCGTATGCCTACCGACGGTTGATTTGTTAGTCCTACCGTCTCACTCTCCCCTGCGGCATGCCGCAGGCAAGCCGTCTCATCTGGCTCCCACATCTTCTATATTCTGAGAGGAGGGAGCTGTGAGGACTTCGTGAAATTCAGCATTTGGAGTCCCGACGATTCTTCCGTCGATCAGAAGGATACGGTAATTGACGTTTCCTTCATAGCCTAGCAGGATGCATGGCCTTGTTCGCGGATCCGTCAGCTTCTTCCTTTGCTTTGGCGGAATCAGGTGTTCCCCTTTGGATCCGACCACCCTGAGTCGTGATAGGTCAGGTTTGTCCCCATACAACGCTTGATATGGAGTCATGTTGAGCTTCGATGACGGCGACCGGTTGGAGAGAAAAGCTGCGGTTCGAGCAATTTCCGGCCAGAGTTTAGACGATAATCTTGCATGCGCTAGCGTAGTCCTAACCCGATCATAGATTGTCCTATGGGCTCTTTCAGAAACCCCATTTTGCTGGTGTTGATCCACTCCTGTCACCTCAGCTTGGATTGCGCACGAGAACAACATGAACTTCATCTCGTCTCCCACTTGTTCAGATATCCGGTCGAGACGTATTCGTCTGCACTTTCGCTCGGGGCGTTCGTTATGGTCGAGGACGAACCGAAGTGATTCTATGACGAAGTGTTGTCTTCGTGGTATAGGAATAAGCTCGATCCAGCTCGTGAAGTCGTCAACGATGGTCAGCCAGTAACGGCTGCCATTAAGGCCCTCATCAAATGCCCCCGCGACGTCAATATAGAGGAGGTTCATTGCGTGTTCTTCTCTCCTGCTGCCTCTTAGTCTGCTGTGGGATTCTTCGATCATTCGCCCCTGCAGGCACGGATTGCATAGATGACGTGGCTCCATTTCCCGGACACCATGACTCTGCTGCTTAAGTCGCCGAAGGTTTGCATCACTCAAATGGGCAAGCCGGTTGTTCCACAGAGACATTTGCAAACTAACATAGTAAGAGGTGAAAGTCAGATTTGCCCACAGATCGAGTGCATAGACTCTATGGTATTCGCTGGCAGTAAACAGATTCTTTCCGTTTGACTTGTTGTCAAGTATAGCATCCCGGCTTGAGAATTCGACTTTTGCCCCTCATTTGAGGAGCTAGAGCACCGAGATGAGATTGGCATGTGCAGATGGAACGTAGAGGACGTTATCAAGCACAACCCATTTTTTTTCTACCGCGTACATTGCATAGGATATTCACCGTTCCCACTCCCGAGGGAGCCGTTGAGGTGTCAACGCCTCTTAGTGATAGGCCATGATACTTGGTCATTTGGACAAACCCCGAGGCGCTATTGCAGACATACTGAGCGCATCCACTATCCACGATCCACGCGCCGCGGATAGAGAGGGTCCTTATCGCCATTATTATAGGGACATAGTCAGACAGAGCGAAATTGCCCTCGATACCTTTTCCAAAGGCTTCGTTGACATTCTTCTCAGAGGCTTTCCTTGCCATGAAAGTTAGTTTCTTCGGGTCCTTTGGGCCTCCCGCATCGTCATCCTCGTCGTCCGTCGAGGGCCTCATCTTCGAGTGTTTGCGTGTGTCTGTATATATTCTGCCAGGCCTTGGCTTTGGTCCGTCTCCGTCTTTCTTTTGGACCTTCAGTTTCGGATTCTGGGCGAAACATTCGGAGTCGACGTGATAAGGTTTTCGGCAGAAGGAGCAATATGGGACGTTATCGATCTCGATTCGACAAGTAGTACCGTCCGACGAAGGAATGAGCTTCTTGTCACCTGGCTTACGGACTAGGGCAAGAGCAGAAAGTGCTTGCGTCTCCATTGCTTGTTTGCCCAATTGCCCCTTCCGATGCTCTTCCGCAATTGCCTTGTTCTCGATATAGTCGAATGTGGGCGCCGCTTTGGTGACATTCCCATTTGCGTCCCTTTCGTTGAAAAGGTCCATTTGCCGGAAGATATAATCACGGAAGCTCTCATTCAGGGCCGAGTGCATGCACGAAGAGAAATGTCCGCTCAATTTCGGACGTTATGTAATCAGGGTCAAGGAGGAGTTTTTCAGCATCAATCATACGTGCCAGAGCCTTCTAGTTTGAAGTTGTATTTGACTGTCTGAAGCAGTGCTTGAACTTGAGAAATCTCAAAGGCATTTATCATTTGCGTCGCATTGTCTGTCAACTTTGCCGTGATCATCGCAGAATAGAACTTTTGGCGGTGAATCCATTGCCGTGCTTCTTCATCTTCTTCTATTGGTGAAGTCGCTCCATCGTCGGCAACGGCGGACATTCGAATGAACTCGTTGACCTTCTGATTCCACCTAAACCAGTCTCTGGCATTATCCAGAGTCGGAGTTCCATTGTGAGATGTGTTGCTTCCAAACTGCTCGAATCTTGCGATTTCAGTCATTTTGGCAATGAATGCTCCTCGGAGCTGAAGAAGTCAGAGCTAGATACGTCGTTGGACCGATTAAAGGTAACCAATTCATGATCTGATAACTGGAGAGAGCGCACTTCCAAGCCGAAGAGTTCAAGGCTTGACGCGGCACTGGGAAGGCTTAAAACAACAGAAATGGTTCGATCTGATGAGCTCGGCGTAAGCGTTCGAGATGGAGGAGTATAGTCGCTGTCTGAGAATCCGTACAGATGGAAAGAGTACTTGTACGATCTACAGAAGTGAGGAAACGGTGTCGGTCAATTAGATATTGCGACTTCCCTGGAGGGAAGGTTGAGGGTCTGTTTGGCCGAAGTTTGTAACGACCCGAAATGCTGTTATTGGAAATGGATAGCTCGCCTCTACCCACAGGGCTTGGTGGAGTCAAGGCCAGACTCTCAATGCTGTTCTCTGATCGAGTGAAATTGCCAGAGACGGGCCAACTGTAGCGACTTGTCCCCTGCTCGATACTGGAGCACGCAAGTTGAGCTTTGGGGGCACTTGGAAAGTCTTTCACAGTGTTGCGAGGAGCGATGATTGGGATGGTGGTCCTCGATGTTGGCGTATGCGGTCTTCGGTGGACAGGCGCTAGTAGGCTCCCAAGAGTGCGCTCGGAGAAAGGGCTGGGAAGTATGACGTTTGAATTTGTTTGAAGCGCCAGTGGTGAGTGTGTCGGAGGTACGAGAGAATGTCCAGCTCCTCGTCCGTCCAGGAGTATCTCTTTTGTAATTTTGATCGCATTTTTATTTTGAAATTGAGGTGGCCTTGTGGTCAGTGGCCCCAAGAAGATGGTTTCTGAGTTTGCTGGGAATGGTGACATGGCCCAGCTGTAGATACAACTCTACAGTACCCCGTGCCAGTGAGATAGTGTAACCGTAGCAATTATGGCGTAATGCCTATGATTATCTGGCGGAAAAACGTTTGAAGCTTGCTGCAAACGGTGACATGTCCCGGCTACGAGGGTAGCCCTGCGATAGCTTGCGCCAGCGAGACGAGACAGCGTAACAGTAGCAATAATGGCATGATGTCTATGATCCTTTGGTGGAGGGTAGTTCATCCACGTTATTCCTCCGAGAGGGTTTGAGCAATAGGACTCCATAGTGTTCATCATGTTACTGAGAATATATGATCAGTTTCTGAGGTTCCATGGAGTCAGTCCTTGATAGAGAAGCTTAGCTGTCTGTAATGGCAGGGAAAGAATGTTTCTTCTTTCTGTTTCGAACCCTTGGTGCCAAAAGGTAAAGCCATTCGGGCTCATAACCTGTTGAGATAGGTAGTTGTAATGTTCTTTTTTTTAAGGTTACTATCAAAAGTGGGAATCCCATCTATCTAAATGTCCATCGCTAGTCTCGCCATAAGCTTTGACCTCCGCGAAACTCAACAATATGAATATGAACATGAATATGAATAAGCTCTTTATTCATATTCGCAATATTCATGAATATATGATTTTTTCATATTTATTTATAAGATACCATACATTACCATTCGTTTCATTACATCCGAATACATCAAAAAAGCTCAGACACTTTCTTCATCATGCGCCTGTCTTTAATTTCGAAGCACCGAGAATTACATGCATGTACCATCAGAAAGTTTTATTCAGGACTTTCCTCTCAATAGCATCAGCCATCGCCTAGTCTCCGCGCTCAGACGGTGCCTTCGGAAGCCCAAGACATCTCGAGCATTACTGAACTCGCGTTCAATCCCGACCTCTGCCGAAGGGATGGGTAGATAATCGCGAGCGGCTTTTGCCATGAGTGGAAAATTAAACGCGTTAGCCTTCAACCACTTTAGGACCCATTCTGCGTCCGCATCGTCGATCATGTGGTGGGACCAGTTGACCGGCGGGGAATCCAAATACTTATCAATATCCGACAAAGATGCCTCTTTGGATGGCTGGACTTTCTGCAGAGTACTCCACATCGTTTCCGACATCCCCGCTGGACGTGGATGGTCAACTTCAGATGACACAAATGACTCTGGGGGGATTCTTTCTTAAGAAATTCCCGCACTTGCGAGACGATAAGCCCCGAATCTTGCTCGCTCATTTGAGACACAATCAGAGACGATTTGATGCGTGGATCCAACACGGAAGCCACATAGTAAAGAAGGTTGTCGTCCATTTTTCTAGCAAACCTGTTCATCTTCCGAATGCCTCTTTCCACCGCATCGCGAATCTCAATGTTCACGTCTTCAAAATCCCCCTCCGCATTTCGAACGTCATTTAACAAATTGTCCAGACTCCAGTAAATCGGTAGACTTTCCACAATTGTTGGGCATGCCTTTGAAACGGAGTTTGTGTGGTCCCAGAACGGCTTGAGGATCTTGGCTACTTGCTGAAGTGTCGACCAGTCGTCATCGGTAAGCTGGAGGGCCTGAAGTTCTGGATGTATCCGTACATACTGCCCCAGCTCAGTTTGTAGCCGAAGGGCATCTTGAATCATGATATACGTCGAGTTCTATCGGGTGTCAACATCATAGTTGACTTGTTTTCCAGTGATACTTCTTTCCAATCTTGGCGGCGCTGTGGGCTACGGGCGATCCATAGCGTCAGAAGTCGTATTTTCATGATTGCACCTTTCGCGCTGTGAAGGGAGTTGAATTCTAGGCTAGTACGAATGGCCATGTCATCTAGTATCGCCTTTACTTCTCGAGCCGAACCAGCCCTTAACGAAGCTAAAACATCTTTGCAAATCAGATTAAGCATATGGGTAAGGCAATGAATGAAGCTCTCTCGACTGCGGAATCGTATTAGAGGCCTAATGCAAAACCGGTCATCGTCATTATCATACTTCTTGAGGAGCCGGTCCTGCAGGCTATCGCAGAGCGTCCCGTTATTGCCGGCATTGTCCCCTGTGATGGTCAGGAGCTTTGGCGCGATGTCCAGTTCGGCGAGCATCTTTAACACAACTTACGCTAGATTCTCTCTAGAATGCGGTCCATTGATCTCGGTGAACTCGAGATATTCATCTCGCTTTTCAAAATTGGGGGTTATCTAATGACTAAGGATACCCATTATCGCAATCTGAATTTCCGACGTGCAAACGTTAAGAGATAAAGCGAGTGTGCGGCTGCTCCCAGTAAGCTCCTCTTTCACGTAAGCCCTACTTAAATGGAATTTTTCTTTGATTCGGTTGAAAACAGTACCAGCACTCTTGATAGGCAAAGGAGCCCCTATTGCTTCAATGAGTGCCTTAAAAGCCGGATGCTCCACCACTGTGAAAGGCTGTCTTGTTTGAATGACCCATCGGACTAGCATTTCTTTAACGCTAGCCTTCTTTCTCGGCGACTTCAAGAACCGGTCGAGGCTTCCTCCGACCGCGGGTAAGAAGATGGAGTCGGCCCTAGACTTGATACGATGCTTGGTCTAGAGATGCACTAACAAATTCGAAGTTGAACCATAGCGCGCCGAATCTCTATAGGACCAGCTGTAATGTTTGCAAATCAGTAGTCGGTCTTTTTTCAGTGGGCCACCTTGCCGTCACCAAGTGCTATCCAAATATATGGTCCTAAAGTGCTCACTGGTCCAACTAGAATACGACTTGGTTTTTCGTCTTTTATGGGGCTGCGGACTACTCGTATTGCTCTTGCTTTCCGAAAACGCAAGATCAAGCGGGGAGGGCGAAGAGCTAGGCAAAGAATAAGACTGTTTCGTCCGAGGCGTGTCTTCGGTGTTCATAGATGGGGAGGGCTTAGGAGAGTAACGGCGTCCTGTTCCACACGCAGACTCCTTAGACTGCTCCGAAGGTGACGAAACCAGGCCATTATGTAGAGCATTATAGTCTCGACGTGGAAGACCACGCGTCCTCCGCATGGACGGATTAGGTGTAGATGCCATGCTACTGTTTCCTAGTATCAGTTATCAAAAGGGTACCGACGGTGATGTATAACACACCTTGAGCTATCCGGGCTGGGGTCAGAAACTGATAGTGGACTTGAGGATAGGATAATGGTTGATAGGCCCAGTCATGTTCGCGCTTTATGTGCCCTTCTTGACGTGAAATGTTGATAGATCTCTTTTCTGTTTGCTGCAACGCGGTACTGCCGATTCTGAACGTGAACAAAGGCAGCCAGGGTCCTTGGAGGCTCTGGGTCGTGAGGCAAACGCGTTTTTATGTGCCATTACTCAAGATTACTTTGTGTATCAAGTTTGAAATGAATTAGAATAGAATCAGGGAACTGAGAAGGTCTAACATTTAATTGCCTGAGATGATTCGCAATTGGGTTGACAGATATATATAATCTTCACGGATCTTCGTGGCTGGTGCCAAGTTTCTATGGCCACACCCATGTGAATGAGTATCATGTCTCAAAAAGATCCACTGTGTTACATCAACCTGGTCAACCCTACATAAGCAGGTTGTAATTTCTAGCATATATTCGCAACGGAAATTTATAGTCTAGCGTTGCTGATGAAGTGATGGCATTGTGAAATCGACCACTAAGCGCATTTCGGTAAATACTAGAACCGCTGTACCGGACAAAGTATTAATGCGGAGAAATCGCACAATATGAATAACGCGTTTATTCGCGCGAATAAAATTCAAATATTCATATTCGCGGAGTGCGAATATACTTATGTCGTATATTCGCATTCCTTTATTCTTTTCGGAACCCTAGCTACAACAACTATATAAATCCGTGTATTTACATGTGTGTGATGTTCCACTTCCTGAAAACGAACTTAAAGCCTCGTCAAGCCTATCGTGGCCTAGTTGCCGTTCACGTTGTTAGGCTGTCCTCATAGCGCGCGACTTTGAAACCGTTGTGACGCCTCAGCGAAGTCCAATAAAACGTTCACCGTTTTGGCTCGCGAGACGGTGTCTGGTCTATCTCACCTTCTTTGGAGCCTCCCAGCAGACTCTGGACGTTGCTGAATGCGTCCCTAACCTTCATTCTTAATTCTCTTCTCAATTCCTGTAGTTTTGGACAGGCCACTAGGACGTGAGTGACTGTTTATTGCGCGCCACACGCGCAGCGGTCGTCGTCGCGGAAGCCAATGGTCTTCCTGAAGGTGGATAACCAATCATGGCCCGTGCGTAGCTGTGTCAGCAAGTACGCCCGGCCCCTGGGTAGATTCCCATAAAGCTTCCTAGTGTAGGTCGCCGGCAAAGTGTTATCGATCTTCCGCAGGTGACCGCCTTTGGTGGATGATTCCCATTCCCGCCTCTACTGAGCGCGGATGTTGTCGCGAATAAGCGCCTTCGTCCTTGGCAGCAGAGGGCGGAAGGGATGTGATTTGCCCGGGCTTGCCGCGTCTTTGGCCAGCCGGTCTGCTGCGTCGTTTCCTGGGTTATCGCAGTGTCCGGGTATCCATTGGAGACGGAGCGCGATTCCCGTTGCTTGAGCCTCTGTGGCTGCTTGGAGGATCGCGTGAATGATGCGTTGTCCTGGTTTGTTACCTGGGTTCTGGAACGCTTGCAAGGCTGATCCGCTGTCGCAGAGGATCGTTGCCCTTGTTATTCCGTTATGTTCCGTTCTTGGCCGCTGATGGCTGATCTTGAACACTGTACTGACAGCGTATAAAACGCCTATCAGCTCTGCTACGTGAACCGACCACTGGTCCATCGGTCCCACCTGGACCTACTGGTGTTCGAAGACCTCTAGGTTGTTGTCGAGTGCAACGACAGCAGCGCATAGATGGCTTTCACGTCCCGAGGCATCGGAGTAGACTACGATGGCGGATGTGGATCGAACAGCTCAGCCCGTTCTCTTGCCGTCTCTCGGTCTGACCCGATCTCAATCTTCGTGAAAGACTCAGCTCGCCACGGCGGTAGTGGTCGTGGGTCGATCGTCTCTATTTCATCTAATCTTGCTAGATCCATAGTCTTCAGAGCTTCCGCCAGTTGGAAACGAGCATACGACCCGACATTATTCCTACGTTTCTGAGCTCGCCGCAGTGCCTCCCAAATGGGGTGGTCGCGCGGCAGAGTGTGAAGGTTTGCGATGGTGTTCTGCGCTCGTTGGCGGAGACGGAGGTGCGTTGGTAGAATGTGTGCTTCTACTTCTAGGGTGGCAGTGGCCACCGTCTTGAAAGCTGATAGTATGCGTATCAACAGAGTCCTCTGGACTGTGTTCAAATGTCGTAGATGAGACTTGTCTCGCAGAGGGTCGTGTCAGACCGTCGACGCGTGGTCCACGACCGGTGCAACGCAGGCTTGGTAGAGCTGTCGCATCTGCTCAGGGCGCAGATGCCGCAGTCGACCCAAAGCAATACTGACCTTGGTTGCACGTTTGTTCGTTTACTGGACGTGGTCCTTCCAGCGGAGCTCGTGGTCGAAGATCACTCCTAGCAGTTTGGCGGTGGATGACGGTTCGACTGTCTTCCTGTTCATAAACACCTGGCCTTGAAGCTGTTCGCTTCTCTTCCTAGTGATGTGGATGAGTTCAGCTTTTTCGGCTGCGAAACAAGACCCGGTACGCTGGTCCCAAGCTTCAATGCGGGGGATGTCTTCAGACTGAATCTTGGTCAAGTTGTCGTTGGCTGAGCGACCTACTCGCCAGCGGAAGTAATCATCGATGAAGGCGGATGTACCGCCCTGAAATGTGACGGTTTGGTCGACTAGGTCGGGGTTGAAAAATGCAAATAGGATAGGCGAGAGGGGTGATCCCTGTGCTAATCCTGCGTTCGCCAGCGGCGTCATCTCAGTGCGGAAGTCGTCGAATCCAATGCTTGCGTGGCGGTCGCTCATAAAGCTCGCGATCCATTTTCTCGCCACGGTTGGGATTTTCCTTGCCCAAACGCAAGCGTCTAGGCTCACTTTGTTGATTCCGTTGAAAGCACCTTTTAAGTCGAATGCCACCAGTTAACAATTTCTGTTTGTACCACGCCCGATCAATCGCGTTGGAGAGGACCAAAAGGGCTTGTTCAGTGGTTCTGCCTGATCGCCCTCTGGGCTGGGTGTCCGGAAGCAGCAGGCCGTGCTTTTCAGCGAGATACGATAGTCGTCGTGCCATCACCGCCTCAAGGAGTTTGCCTAGTGTGTTGAGGAGTGAGATCGGGCGATATGCCCCAGGCACCGAGTAATCTGGTTTCTTGGGTTTGGATATGGGAGATTGGTAGTGGAATTGGTAATGAAACGTAGGTGTAAAAAACCATTTAAAAAACAGGGTACATCTGGGAATTATGTGATGGCCTGATATAGTTTAGTGTGGTGTACGAATAAACCAAGCCAATGCAAACCCTAATACGACCAAGCCCTCAGTCGGGCCTCCCCCATGGGATAGGCTTAGGACGTAGCTCGAAGAGCTTCGACAGGATGAGGCTGGAATGGATAGATGTAGCGTGTGTAGGGGCGGTGGGGGATTTTGCCTTTGACCGAGTCCACGGACCACACCGTGACAACAATCGATATACTATTCATAAAAAGAGGGTTCAATCTTCTGAGTATCACATGGTCACATGGTCTTAAATATAGCCGATATCGCTCCTAAATGGTGTTCCGTCTGGTATTCTTAGAGATTTCCATTTTCCCCTTAAATTTTGAACCGCGTTTTTCTTTGCCCACTGAAGTAAAGAATCAAAATCCCGGCATTGCTTGATTATGTTGAAATCCGGGAAAGGTCTGACTTTAGGCTCAGGAGCTTTTTCACTATAAACCCATTCATGAGTGATAATTTCAACGTCGGCATGACATGTCAAATGCTGTAAGACCATATGTAAGCAATGTCTTTTGTGAGACACATGGACCTCGGGTGCCCTGGTTCCATTATATCGAGCATGGTAGTAATAGTCGAAGTCCATCTCCTTGCGCAATTCGTTCAAACAATGGATGAGATGGAATACGTCAATTTGAGCAAGAAAGGCATCATGGCCATAGCCCCAGGAAAGAGGGGCTCTGACTGCTCTCTTGGGATCTTTACCCGCCTTTATGATGTCTGATTGACGGATTACTATAATTTCCAAGCCTTCGGTGGAGATTTCATTCCAAGCAATATCAACCTCTGATGATGGATTCCCCCGAAAAGTGGATGAATTGTCACGGAGGGCTCCGTTTTGAATAATGGGTGTCATGGAAAGATCTACCATGTCAAACATCGGAGCTAGTATATATTAAGGCAACGTTTAGCCAATCATTTTGAATACCAAAGTAGCTTGAAAAGAATGGTTGCATACAATATGAGGATATTTGTTTAAGAAGTGGATTCATATTGGAATCAAGATAGCGACCATCGGAGTAAGGATAGGCTCTGGCTGCGAAGTGACTTTGATGGGTAAGCAGCATTACTAAAAGTGCTACTGAAAGTGTTATGTTGGAAAGTAACACGGAAAAGACTATCCAACAGGAAAAGGTAAATAAACCTCTTCTCAAAGGTTTGTCATATTCTTCTGATGGCTTGTTTATTTGCAGGAAACGATATCCTCGGTGGGAAAAGAAAAGTGCTTTTAGCATCACGTAATTTTTATAAATTGGTACGAAATAGGGGGTTTGTGTTGTATGAAAATGCCGAGGGAAATATTTCTTCACGCAAAGAGTGTCTTGTCTTTATATCATCGCCACACAAATCAATTCGTCATAATCGGAATACAGACTATTTATAATGTGGTACGGAATGACAAGTTCTTTTAACTTCCCCAAGAACCAATTCAGCCATGATCAAATTATCGAAAAAATAAGTTGTGGAACCACTCCCAAGAAACCGAAGAAACTAGGTTATTTTGGAGGGTATTTTGTGACCCACTGATTGCGGAGAGAAATAGCATCGACATCCAAATCCAAATCAACGTCCTCGGCCTAGAAACCCAGCGTCATTATAAGAAACAGACAGCCTTTCAATAGAGGCCATTTGGACTTACATTCGAGGTTTTGTGAATCAACGGCGCCGCAAAGGCGTTGACAGTAAGAATCATGATCATACTAATCAAATTGAAATTCATCTCGTTTTGGTTTGTGCTTTGTCGGCTAATAGATCGGAGATAGCTCAATATTATCCTCGAAGAAAAACCAATGTTCGTTTCTACGCTAAGGACGCCGGGCTTAACTCAGAATAAATAGCTGCTTCCTGATGTGGTATTCCTAGTACAATCCCATCGTTTCACATGTTATATATCGCACTCTCAAAGCCCCCTGGAGTTCGTTTGAAATATCTCTGAACAACGTAACACCGCCACGTACAGTGGTGTGACAAAAGTATTTAACCTCCAGTACTTCGGGATAAGGACCCGCCTTTCTGGTACCACCTAGCAGAAACCTCCAAGATGCATTTCAATAAAAGCTAGTGTGCCAACCTTCATAGTTCATTATACCAGCTACTATATAAAACGTGGTATCAGAGGGATACTAAAATATTTCAGTAACTAGTTTCCCTAAGCCTCCTACGCAGCTGCTAGTAGAATTATATACAGCGGTTAGGCTTACAGTGGATCCCGGAGTACTCAGGCCAAATATTAATGTAACATCACTGTATGACATTATGTGGGTATGACAAAAGTCCGGAACAGCTAGAACATATTTGAGCTTTGACAAGGAGGGCTTATAAAATATGGTTCATAACAACGTTATTGGGCGTGATTTGAACGTTCTATGTCCTTATCCAGATTTCTACTACTTGTGTCAGTGATCTAGAGCAGCGAATACAAAACCACATGCCTAATTCCGATTTGTCCATCGCACTTTTGGCAAGCAATGATTTCGACTGTTACTCTCCACCACTAAAGTGACCTACTAGAAAGAAACAAACAATTATTTTACGGCTTATTTCCTTCATTATCTCTATGGCGCCGAGTGGAGTGTTGCTTCTTTCTATCTGGTTTCTGTGGTTAACCAAGGCTCCGTGCAACAAGATGTTTCAACAGCTCCAGTGTATTTAGTGTATGTAATACTGATTTTCCTTCCGAATAATGTGAATGCTGATAAAGTAGCAACGGCACAATCTGTCTTACGCTACACGACGAAAATTTGATAGTTCTTTTTCTAACAGACACAATACCAAGGGCGACCGTTCGATGCGCCAGACATTTACAATTGTGGGTGCATATCCTCCCATGGCGAGGATTGATATAGTTGGGTTTTCGTGGATTACAGCCGAAGAAGCCCGACCCCACGGTAAGTAAAACTTTACCTATCCCTGATGATCCAGGATACTATATTGTTTCTCTCTCTGTCTTTCACCAAATTCATTGTCTCGTGAGCTCGCGTGACTTAACATTCTCCAGTCTTGTTCAAATCCCGACCCACTACAGAATCTGGTACGAAAGGGTCTTTATGGAGATGTTGATTGGACTGATAAAAGCGACCATTTCGGTATCACTCATCTTGACCATTTTGTTGACAAAATTAGCCAGGGTCTTGTGGTATGCATGTATTCTGCAATACACGGTCTCGATTAGCGCTAAAAGTGGGTTTCCCTTAACGATAAAGCATAACGACAAGTTAGGGATCTTAAGAAGTCTAAAACGCTCGTACGCTCCGAGTCATTTAGTTCGATACTACATGCACACGCATTATGCATTACTGTATGACACTACGCTCTGCGTTTGCTTATTTAAGTCTGTTATTACTTTCCATCGTTCTCTGTCCTCTAGTCAATATAGTGTGTCATCCAGTACATGTAAGTTTTGTTACGTGCTACGTTGTTACGTTCTACGAAGTTTGTACTGTTTTGATTGGTTTATCATGAAGCGGAGTCTCTATTATCTAGTCTTCCCCCAGGTTCCAGACTTCTCTTCTTCTTCCTTTCTTCATCTTTAGTATCCTTTTTTAATACACTCTTTCACTGGTCACTACGACAGATTCCTTGAGAGATCTGGCTCGTGGCAGGTCTAGACTAGAGTTACACGTGCGCGTATAATCCGTCACAGTCCAGCTGATATAGTCTTCTACTAGAGGTTTAGATCAGGTGGCCTATATCCCAATTCCGAAATCATGTAATGTAACATTTCTAACACTTGAGTTTGGTGTCACTCGATTTATTATAAAAGAATCCTTCTTGCAAACATATCAGGCTCAATGCTTAGTGGGGTTTCATACAAGAAACTCCACTCCGAACACCCCACAACATATTTACCTTCAATTTTCCAGGCGTAATGACTTTCCCTTACCATAAAATCATCAATGAGCGCGACCCGGATATTTCTGATGAGCAACAAATGAACGAACGAAAATACCCCAGATCGATTTCACAATGGGTGGCTCATGGAAGTACCTTGTTAGCCTTGACTGGTCTGATCCTTTGGATATACTTTCAAACTATTCATCCCACTACCCAACGTGATCGGTTTCAACGAGCATATTGTGAGAATTCTCGTTATTAAACTATATTTATCATGCTTATATGGTTCCTCATCATAGCTCCTCTATGGGATATTATCAAATACTCACCAAGAACATATAGTCATGCAAACTTTGATCCAGTTCAGAGTATATCTTCTTTTAAAGGCCCGCCAAGGCCGGAACTGGATTATGCCTGGAACAAAATTCTAAATCGTATGCTAATCCATTATGTTCATCTCTTGCGGGCAGTCAAGTCCAAGCTAACCTGGGCGGTAAGAAACCTTGATTCTGATTGACCATCAAGAAATGAGACGCTTGAACCAATCTACTCATGATGCCATGCAATACAAGGGCAAATTTTTTGCTGGTGTTGATGTATTTCATCAATTACATTGCCTAGACCTCATCCGGAAATATATATTTCGCCAACACTATACTGAATATATTGCCTTTCAGGATTCAGAGGAAAAAATCTTGAATCACGTTGGTATGGCCACTAAATTTCAGCTAGAGGAAGACTGATACTGACTATATCCGCTTGCCTGTTCGAATCAGACCACTGTATTGATATTCTTAGACAGAAAGTCATGGTAAGTGGATACGTTCACCCTATGCAAATTTGACAATACTAATAGTAGTTCCAGTGTGATAGTGATATTGATTTGATTTTCTATACTGATCGGAAAAAAGAAGGAAAGACACCCGCAGCACGCTTCAATATCCAGCACATGTGTCGTAATTTTGAGGAGATCCAGCAATGGACTTTGGATCATGCGTGGGACAGAGTGTAGATCACATTATTTCACAAAATGAAACCAGTAGCTATGGGGCACATAGCCACTTCGACCAACGGCCACTTGAAAAAATTCGAGAAAACGTAGTGCTATGCCGTTGAAAGCACTCGTACTTGATTCTATTCCATGGGGGTGGGAGAACCGAAGTTCAGTTCATTTAGGGCTTGAGATTTTTGTATGGGGGAAAAAAAGTGGGTCCACCCCCAGTTCATTTAACTTCCAGCGTCCGATTTTGCTCAAAATTTCAGAAGTTATATTCCGAATTTTGGACTTTATCCGAATGAAATTTCGAGTCAATTTGGCCACTGGTGGTGGAGTAAAGTGGTATGGAAAATCAGAGATGTTTTGGTGGGGGTGTGGAAGTAGACCTGCGACCGTAAAACCCCATCTATAACACCGCCAGATCGGTGTCAGACCCAGTGAGGTCAGCCGCCATATCCAAAGAGCCCAGCATCGACTTGGATTGCCCGTTGGCCGGCAGCTGCAGGATCAGATTCAACAGTGGAACCGAGTTCACGACTGCGAACATTGGGAAGTAACATTGGGAAGTGCCAACGGCTGTGAACCGTCCCATTCCCGGGTTACCAGTATACCACGATGGAATGCTATGCATCCGTGCCCCCGGATGTAGTTATGTGGTTAAAAATCCAGTCGTCATGAAGCGCCACTGGCGTGAGAAGTATAGCTGGAAGTCCAGCAGCAGCAAAGGCCGACCCCAGGCCGCCGCTCAAGAGATAGCTCAGCAGCAGATCCAACAGTTTACCCGCATAGTCCCATGTCAACAGGCATTCAACCATGGCACAGGCAGCCATTACATCCACGTACGAGGCCAACGTACAGCCCCACGTCCACCAGTAGAACCGGCTGTCCAGCAGGCGTCCCAGATCCACGCAGAGCTCGACAAGATGGAAGCGCTGTACCAGCAGCATTAGACCTTGACATTTCCCATGGGACTAGCAAAAATCTGGTCCCATGGGAGTAAGAAAAATTCCCATCTATACATTATTTTCATAAATCAGATGAATAAACTGCTGATTGGGCATGATTAAATACCGTAATTTATAGCTGTTTGATTATGTATTGGTAGATTTAACATGTTCAGCGTTAGTTTTGAGAATGTTGTATGAGATTAATTGATTGAAGACATGATAAATTACTTCTTAGCTCTAAATTCTATTCATAAACTATGTAGAAGAAAGAATTGGTTGAGACTTACGGTTTATCAGAGGTAGACTAGTGAAGCTATTGTAGAGATATATATCTCATAGGTGGCATCTCAGCAAATCTCTTTAAATTGCTACTTCTCTGTTTAATTATTCTGTTTCTTTACATCGGTTTGAAATACTTAGATGTAGCTGTTACGCTCGGGATTTAATATCTGAAAGTTGAAAATATGTTACTTTCAAGCTCTGGGTAGACCTCGCTTTGGGTCGGGTTTGGGTCCAACTTCAGGACCCGTAACCGTGCCAAGCGCCCAACACACCGCCGTGTATTGGTGCGCCCCACTAGATAGCCATTTTTCACCAGATAGCCAATTTTCAATTTATTCACCTATGAAAATACTATTTACAGGTAACCACCATGACTATCTACATACCAATTTCCACCATTACTATCTCTTGCCGCCATTGAAGCTTCATGCTCAGTCTCTAATAAATCCCTTGCTTCTTGGGCCCGTTGTTGGGCTTCCAATTCCTTAGCATGCTTTGCCTGTAGCCGCTTCAACTTCCCCAGCATTGGCATCCTGTCATTTTACCATCATCCTATTCGCGCATATAGGTGATAGGACATTGCCTTTGGTCCCAAGAAGCGATTTCCCATTTTTTGGCGTATGTGTAGATCCAGATAGCGCGTGTTTTGACCGTTGAATAACAAGAGAGGATTTGAACACTATCGGTTGAGCAAATAAAACAGTCTTAAGCAAAATGATGTGGCGGTCATGATGAAAAGGAAAACACGACTCTTGACCAGCAACCGCCTTAAGCTACAACACAAGCAAGTCCAGGTGCGTTCACCCAGGCAATTTTCACCATTTGGCATTTTTGAACGGGGGTGTTCAACGAGATCTGGATTAAACAGTTGTTCTTGCTGCCTTGATGTGAGTCACCGGTCACGTGGAGTGCAGGGTCAAAGCGATCCCCCGAGGAACAGGAAGTTTTTCCATTTCACTCTGGAGATGGTCTCACATACCGTCCTATCACGAGGCGCTAAGTCTAGAATGGCTAGCTCTCAGCTAAACCAAGCCTGGTTAGTTTCAAATCAGCATGTGATGTCAGGGCAAGACTTATGTGGAGGTTAATATGATCGGAGTTTGCAGGGAAAATAGCGTTTAAATAGTAGCGATTGATACAGTATGTGGTTGTGGCGGGTAACTAACTATTTTCTTCATAAAAATAATTTGGGAGGAAGTTGCATTTGGTATATAGTAGTATCTACGAAGTGATAGTAGCAACGATCGTAGGTGCATATACGATACCCCGCACGTGCTGATTGATTCAGCCTCGCCGGCCAGGCTGAGGTGGCCATCTTCCCACAAAGGACGTGCAGTCCGCTCTTATCTAACGTACAGTTCTGTCATCGAGTATAAGTATATATCACGATGGCTAGTCAGAGAAAGTCGCATGTCTTCCGGGTGACAGGCCTGTCGAGGGAACTGCCCGATAGGGATCTCAAGACAGCAGTGCAACGGGCACTCAACGACAACTTTACCGACGACGAGAGATCTCATATCATGGCTGAGATCACAATAGTGCCGTCATGCTATGAAAGTGACACAGAGAGGGCAGCCCTGGTGCAGTTTCGCGATGGTATACCTCGGTTCCTTCATGAGCTGAGAGTCGACCCTCTTGGAGACTGGCAGGTCGAGATGGGAGACAACGACATCAACTTTGACTGCCACTTCTTTGGATTTACCCAGCTCTACGCGCCTGACGACAACGAGCGAGTGGTTGCAGAGTAAGGACTGTGCCTTTATCTAAATCGAGGAGATTGATATTAACCGAAGACGTATGATAGCATCATTGCCATTGCCGGACTAGATGGACATGCGTATGGATCGTGGCAAGGAAGAGGGAATATTGGTCGGATGTGGCTCCGTGACTTCCTGTCGAAGGATCTTCCGCAGTGCCGCACCATGATATATGGGTACAACTCCAAGCTGTCGAGCCACGGAGTCGATACGATCCTCGACTATGGGCGGGAGCTGATGGAGGAAATCAAGAAAATCCGGAACACGAAGGAGGTAGGAGACGCTATCGGTCTTGTCTATTGATAGCAATTTTGGGCTGATTGTTGGACTAGCTCTAGCAGAGACCGCTGATATGCATCGCACACAGCTTTGGAGGCATTATCGTGGCTCATGTGGGACCACCGTCCAATTTGAGGTATTATATATCATATGCTGACACAACCTATAGTGCCTGGTGAGGGCCATCCAGACAATGGAGGAAGACCACCCGGCGATCACGTCGCTGCATCGAGCCACGTACGGCATGATCCTTTTTGCCATTCCACATAAAGGATTAGTAATGAATGATATCCAGCAGATGTTAGTAGGGGATAAGAGCCATCCGCGAGAGCGACTACTACAGCAGATCTCCAGTAAATCGGACCTGTTGATCCACCAGCTGGCGGATTTCAAAAATCTAATTCGGGATCGCAAGGTGGTGAGCTTCTATGAGACGGAGCAGACGACGCAGTTGGTATTGGTACGTATTGGTCTTCGTCTGAAACAGGCTATGGTATGTATTGACGGTCGCATTAGGATTCAGAAAGCGGACGGTGGAAACGCACCGGGGATTTTGTGACGACGGTTGGCACAGACTCGGCTCTTCTCCAGCTCCCCGACCATGTAGAGGACAAGGTGCCGCTGCATGCAGATCACTCGATGGTGGTCAAATTCGACACGCGCAACGCGGCCGGGTATCGAACGGCGGTCGATAAACTGCGGCAGTTCTCAAAAGACGCGCTATCGGTGGTGGCGGCTCGGTTCAGTGGGTGACTTGATCCAGGGTCCTTTTGCGAGCTAATGGAGACTATATTTAGCGCAGACGCGTCCGAAGCCTCAGCCGTGCTCCACGGTGCCTTTCAAAAAGGACCCGATGTTTGTGGGCCGCGAAGCTCTGATCAGTGCGATCCAGGAAGGACATAAGGCGATTGGCCAGCGTCACGAGCGGGTGGCATTGGTGGGGTTGGCCGGTGTTGGGTGAGTGGTCACTATCAGAATGCCTGTTGAATAACAACTGATTTGACTATCGTTAGAAAAACCCAGGCAGCCATCGAGTATTCCTATCGTGTGCGAGAATCTACACCGGACATGTGGGTGTTTTGGATCCACGCTAGCAATACGGCGCGGTTGGAACAGGGCTACCAGCAGATTGCCACAGTTGCGGAGATTCCGAGACGGGACGATCCGAAGATCAACATCCTCCAGCTTGTGTATCAGTGGTTGTGTGATGCACGCAATGGGCGCTGGCTGATGGTGCTAGATAATGCGGATGACGATGGTATCTTTTTCAGTGGCAATACCTTCAACGAACGAGGGCCGCTGGTGAGCTTCCTGCCCCAGGCCGCCCATGGATCAATGCTGATCACATCGCGGAATGGTCTTGCGGCACGGAACCTGGTGGGGAGCGAGAGTCATGTGATCGCGGTTCAGCCAATGAATGAGGCAGAGTCACTGGCCCTTTTACGTGCAAGGATTCCGGCTCCCCAATCGGGAGAGTCTGGAGAGTCTGGAGGGGACGAGAGGGCTCTGGAGGGGACGAGAGGGCACTGGTCCAGGCATTAGAGTGTATCCCATTGGCTATCACTCAGGCTGCGGCGTATATTGCCAACCGGTTACCCCTTGTTACCGTCTCGGTATACCTTCGTCTTTTCCATGAAAGCGAGTCGAAGCGGACGCGGCTTCTCCAGAATGAGGATTCGGCGGATCTTCGGCGCGATCCCAGCATTCGGTATGCCGTGATCACAACGTGGCAGTTATCGTTTGAGCAGATCCGTCAGGAGCGGCCTGCGGCAACCGATCTCCTGGCGTTGATGAGTATGTTCGATCGGCAGGGAATCCCCGAAGATCTGGTGCGGGGCCACGATCAAGATATCCTGGACTTCCACGATGCATTGGCGCCGCTGCTCAGCTATTCTCTGATCCGACTAGAAATAAACGAACGGTTGTTTGGCATGCACCGCCTGGTGCAATTATCGGTCCGGGCGTGGCTGGACATGCATCAGCAGCTTTACGGCTGGCAGGCCAAATCACGAAGGATTATGGCACGGGTATTTCCAAATGGCGAGTACGAGAGCTGGACAGAATGTCGATCGCTTCTTGCGCATGCCAATAGTGTGCTGCAGTCTATATGTGACGTAGATGATGAAGATCGATTGAATGCTGCCACCCTCTTATCTCATTGTGGATTGTTTCTAGATCTTCAAGGAGTTTATGAAGAGGCAGAAGCGATGCATCAACAGGCGTTGGAAACACGAGAGAAGGTGCTTGGACGTGAGCATCCTGACACGCTCGCCAGTGTCAATAACCTTGGCTTAGTTCTCTCCAGCCAAGGGTTATACGACGAGGCGGAAGCGATGCACCGACGAGACCTGGAAGGTAGTGAGAAGGTGCTTGGACGTCAGCATCCTGGCACGCTCACCAGTGCCAATAACCTTGGCAATGCTCTCTCCAGCCAAGGGAAATATGAAGAGGCGGAAGCGATGCACCGACGGGCGTTGGAAGAACGAGAGAATGTGCTTGGACGTGAGCATCCTGATACACTCACCAGTGTCAATAACCTTGGCAATGTTCTTTTCAGCCAAGGGAAATATGATGAGGCGGAAGCGATGCACCGACGGGCACTGGAAGGATATGAAGAGGTGCTTGGACGTGAGCATCCTGACACGCTCACCAGTGTCAATAACCTTGGCAATGTTCTCTCCAGCCAAGGAAAATATGACGAGGCGGAAGCGATGCACCGACGGGCGTTGGAAGCATGAGAGAAGGTGCTTGGACGTCAGCACCCCGGAACATTGGCCAGTCTCAATATTCGTTAGACTTCCTGGATCAACACGTAAAACGTCAAGAGGCTTCAGAACCTCAGACTTGTATCTCCAGCATTTGGTGTAAAGGCAGGTCACATGTTGATGTAAATTTATACTTGGTGCTATCCCCTGCAGCACTGTAAACCCGCATAGTTTGCTGTGGGCTACGGTCTGGAAGTACTTCTAGCATTATGTTTCGTTCAAGCAGGCCATCTCTTATTTGCGGACAGGGTTGTAGGGCGGCTGTTCTGTTTATTCTGTTTAGCGGCGCTAGTATTTCTCATACATCAAGTTACATAATTGTTTCGTTTCCATGTATTCGCCTTATCGGTAATTTTGTCTTATGTACCTTTCCACTGCCAAGAGTTCCACCAAAACTCGTATATTCTTAGGTAACATAATTTTGATGGTATAAAAAGTCAATATAGGTCACTAGGTAGGCGAAATGATGCAATGTCGTCTTTCCTATTCATTTCAGACGTTTTTGTGGATGACTTCGGCGTCATAATAGCAAACGGTGCATTTTCTAGTAGCGCGTGCCGTCTTGTAATCCGCCACTTTAACAGTTTGTAATCTTTGTTTAAAAAAAAAGCATCGAATTGGAAATTAGATAATAAGTGTTTCTGCTGCTCTTAGGCAATGTTCAATACATGGATTGGGGGTGACGGCGCTCGAATGTGCAGGTACCTGGTCGGCGTTTCATCACATAGGGCATTTCATCTCACCGGGATGGGGGTTAACCGGAGTTTGGTACCCAGATTGGGATCACTAGCCTAATCTAACCCCGCTCCCCTTTTTAAAGTGTACGAATGCAAATGCGAGATCACATTCTGTTGCTAATACGACAAAAATAACGCATGGTCGAACGGGCACCCTTTTTGAGGTCCGCAGCTTTGAGATGATTCCCACCCTCTATTTAGCTTGTCCAATGGATCAATGTTCTAGAACACCCTAGACACCATACAAGTACAATACAGAAGCTATTTTTAAGCTGTTAATTACGACTGTATTGAAATACTGCCAAGAAATGGGTTCAGGGGCAGAGTAACCGTAATAGGTATAGGGCGTTTCGGAACAGGGTTCGAGAAAGAATCCCCGCGTGGAAGTGGTGAAACTGATTTCGATCCTCCCTGTATCAATGGAAGCAGCATGGATGGTCTGGTCGCTGCGCTGGATGCCCATGGTGATCGAGCTCGTAAGATCTTGATAGGATATGAGAGAGCCAGTTGCTCAATCCCGGAGGTAGCGAGCGCTATTTATGAGCATGCCGGATCCTACTGCCAGATCTGTTCCTTTGGTTGGGAATGACGATGGATCTGATATCGGAACATTCATCTCCTGTGCTTTGATTACTGGCCGAGAGATTTCAACAGCGCGCATCTTCACTTTGTGATCGTTAACTTTGCGGTTATAGAGTTGCTGGCATTTGAACAGACGCCATACAGATGTTGATATTTTATTGACAGGTAGACAGCCACTGATGATGCGGAGTTCAAAAGCCCCGGCGGAGCCAATTAACTTACCCTCAATTTTACTCATCTCCACGCACATTCTTGTGGCATGTTTAGTATATTTACCGCTCTCACTTGGTGTCATGCTATGGTGGTTTTATGAACCGGTGAAATATTAGATTAATCGCTGGGCTCATAAAGTTCCGCCACGGACTCCAGTGACACACAATAACAGGAATTAAAGACCATGGGTAACGAACGTTATATCTCACGAAAGTGAACACGGCAGTCACCCTTTTCCATGCTTCTTTTTGTAAATTCGAACTGACAATTTTCAACGTCCAATGTACTGTAACATCATCCTATTGGCTATCATTGTGGGGACCTGATACTAAAAGGATCATAAGGTCACCTGTTGTCGACGGTCAAAACTTGCCCGAGATCTGCGGTATGTGATTCCATGAGGTGATCGAAGGTGTGGATTCATGGTCAAGTATTTGGGAAAAGGCGTGGTCATTACACATATAATATCAACCACGTAACAAACGTTACTCTGCAGTCAACAGCGCATAACTCCTTTATCTACTTGATTCAAATTATAAGTGGCCAAGGAGAAACACTAAGCTTATTTGTAATAATCACTTTTGGGAACAATGATAGTATAGAATTACGCTTAGATTGAATAGAGCCAGCATGAGTCTATAGAATGACAGGTATACGATAGCAGGGATGGAATGGGATGGGCTCGGACAGATCTTAGCTTCCTCATTCGATTGCACGAATGAGTAATGATCTCCAGCACCACGAAGAGGTGTCTGTCCTATCGCTGGAGGCCACGAGAGCATGAGGGTGTGCGAGGACGCTCAAAACTGTAACAGTTGTAGCATCAAATTCTACATCACGGCGAGTCACGGTGAGTCACGATGTGCGAGGACGCTCAAAACTGCAACAGTTGTAGCATCTACTATATATGTACGATATTGCACACTGAAACTTTCTACGGCATTCAAAGTTCAAAGTTGCTCCGGCCCTAGTGCTTTCTCGTACCCGGCCAGCGCCCACCTGAACATTTGCTCGGCCTCATTCAATGTGCCTTGGTCCCTAAGCAGAATCCCGAGGCTTTGGGTGGCGTCAACGATTGAAATGTGATCCCATATCTTGGCACTCCTATGGGACCACATGATGGCAGTTGGCAAGGTCATGACCAAGGAGGTCGATCAGCGCACCGCTTGGAATTCATTTGGTCAAAACTTGGGTGATAGCATATGGAAGTTTCTTCTAATCCACCCTGTAAGCTCTTCAATCATATTTGCGAGTCATAAATGGCTGTATTGACTTGGTATGCCTATGTAACAGATTTGTTGAATTAAAGGGACCCTGTCGGATAGACGTTCAGGGAGATCAGAAAACCTCGATCGCTTACGCAGGTTCATTAATATTGAACGTACTAAAAGCTAAGACCGGGTCATGTAATTGATGAGTGATGAATTTGGAGAGTGATGAATTAGGAGAGAATGTTGAATTGAGGGAAGGCGACTAGAATTGTTCAAAGTAATCCAGAATAGCACTGTAGACACGACTGTATAGTTTGCAAAGAAGCACTCCTGTCTTGGAAGGGGTTATAAAAATGGCCTTTCTACAATCTGACTCCCAATTTGGTATTTTCATATCCTGTATTTCACCTACACATTAAAATCATGCGTCTTGAAACCCCTTTCGTCCTTGGACTGGCCATGTCAGCATCTGCTCTGTGGTCAGTCACTTACTACGCTACACCCCATTGTTCAGGCGCGGGAAAAGAGGTTGGAGGCTTCGAAGCCGGATGCCAGACTCTGGATAACGGCACGGAATCAGTCAAGATCTCTACCGACAGTGGCAACAACATTACTTTGAGCACGGATAGCAACTGCAACCACCCTTACGACGATACCATCCCAAGTGATGCAACCGACCGCTGTGTCAATGCCGATATCCGTTCCTTTCTGTCTTCTTGATCGTAAGTTATTTGCTTTACATAAACTACCTTCCCCATGTCAATTTCAACCTGCAAACTAACACTGCAATGTTGGCAAGATCCTCGAAGACGGCCAGAGGGGTGTTGGTAAAGAGCTCAGCCGAGGGGTCGGAATAAGCTTCCAGAATGTTCCGGTGTTTTATTACACGTATACACACACACACACACACACAATTTATTAACGCCCGGCGGCTAGGCCGAAAGGGCAACTATCTCTGATCTATTATACATGTCATGATATATATAGTACTGTGTCTCCTCAGAGCCCATACATAAAGCCTTGCAATATATGTCATCTCAGACGTGCGTATCGCAGCGGATCCTCGTGGGTTAGTAATTTTGTTTGTAGGCTGGCTTGAAGGCGCTTCTCCAAGTGTTCAACATCCTATTTTCGGCAGTTGAAGCGCGTCTACCATTGGTAACCCGAGGTGGTTGGTGGGTTAGGTCGGCGAAAGGGGTTGATTTATATTTGTCGGCATGGTTAGGTGGCCTCGAGTCGGCCCGTGGCGATGGCGAATCGTATTGAGGCCCGTACCGCCTCTAAGTTCGGCGTCCACTTCTGATCATCGGAAGGCGACTTTCCTCCTAGGAAGAAGGATATATTTCCTCGGTGGGTGTTGGTACATTGTAGTAGTTCCGTCCGGTGCGCTGTCCATTTTTGACATCGAAATAGGAAATGCTCCACGGTCTCTCTCGCTTGCCCACACGCACACTGGTCCGTGTCTGCTACTTTGATTCGATAGAGATATCCATTGAGTCTTGCCATGCCGGTTCGAAGTTGAGCTAGTACGCTTGCTTCTTTCCACGACAATCGGTCATATAGCTGCCGGGTGTGTTTGCCTGGGAGTGCTGCATCAACTCGTTTTGCGTGTCTCCCTACGTTCACTGGCAAATCATTGCCAGGGACCGCTTGGGACCGTGCGATATTCAGTGTTGTTGACTTCATCCTCGGGACGCGTTCTTGCGGGAGAGCATCTTCTTGTGTCGCGGCTCTGGCCTGTTCTTTAGCCAGACCCCGCAGTTTGTTATCTTCGCTCGTTGAGATCCACCGGATATTGATCTGGTTTCCATTTCTCCGTAACTTTCTTATCAACTCGTACAGTTGGCAGACGAATTCCTGGCCTGACTGTTGTCGAGGATTCCTTAGTGTCAGAGCCGCTGCTTTGTTGCTCGTGAGCAGCGTAATCCTGTAATCTTTCAGTCCATATACCATGTCCAATGCATGTGCCATCGCTGCTAGCTCCGCAGAAAACGGATTTTGCTCTGCTCTTGCACCCAATGTGACGGAAAGGGTCTTTAGTTTCAGTTTTCGATACCGAGGTGGCTGCCTCTTGATCGCCACCCCAAACCCGACGAGCTCGTTCCGCGCCGAGCTGCTAGTTGCGATCTGCATTAACCCACCTGGTACGGTCGGTGAATGCGAAGTTGCTTCAATGCCAGCCTGTACGCGTACTTCCCACGGTGCCAATGTGAATGGATTGATGGTTTCTAGTGTTTCCATCTCAATGTTCTTCAGTGCGTCTGCTACTTGATACAACGGCGAACGATGGTATCTTCTGAATTTCTTAATGCGTGCTGTGTTCCGGCGGAGAGGGTTGGTTTCTGGCAGGGTATGTATGTCCGTCCACATCTTCACGGCTCGTCTCCAGAAACGGCGTTGAACAGTGGCAAGGTGGGCCTCCGCCTCTGCTACATTGGTCGCAACTGTGAGGAATGTTCCTATAATCGCCTGTGCTCCTATCCTTTGGACGCGGTTGATCGGCCCTATAACCTTATCTTTGCACGCGTGCATCCAGACGTTAGACGCGTAGTCCACGACCGGCGCCACTGTCGATGTGAATAGCTGCCGCGCTGTCGCCGGGGATAATCCCCGAAGTCGTCGGAGCTCCATCGCGGCCTCCAGGCCCTTGGATGCTGCCCTCGCAATATGTTCCTTATACTTGAGTTTCGTATCCATGAGGACGCCCAAGATCTTGACATGATCCTTGGGCTCAACGGTTTGGCCCTTGATAGTGAAAGGTCCCTGGTCTAACTTGTAAGCCTTGGGAGCAAAGTGTATGATAGCTGTTTTGTCTGCTTCAAAAGTCGCTCCGCTCCTTTTCTCCCAGTCGAGCGCTTCACTGATAATTGCTTCAATGCCTTCCCGGTTGCTCTGGGCGGTTGGCCCGGTCACCCATGCGGTAAAATCATCAACGAACGCTAGCGCTCCGCCCTGGCTGTCGATCTGTCTTTGTACGAGGTCTGCATTGAAGAAGAGGAATAGTATCGGGGACAGGGGCGAGCCCTGAGGTAAGCCAGCCTGTGGAAGGCTCTGGACCTCCGAACCTTGCCCATTGATTTGAATGGTCGCCGTTCGTTCCGAGCAGAACGCTTCGATCCACCGGAGCAGGTCACCTGGTATGCCTCGCGCTTTCATTCTCTGGAGCAGTCGTTCTTTGCACACACCGTTGTAAGCGCCCTTGACATCGAAGCTGATCAAACTCAACACCCGTCGGCCACGCCACGCTGTGTAGATCTGCTCTTGCAGGAGAACAAGCGCCTGCTCCGCGGACCGTTGCTTTCGGGCTCCGAAATGGCTAGTCGGGAGCAAGCCGTGTGTCTCCACAGCGTGTGAGATCCTTTCTGCAACCACGGATTCTAGTATCTTGCCTAGCGTCGCGAGGAGCGAAATTGGCCTCCATGCCTTCGCAATGGTGTAGTTTGCCTTGTTCGGCTTTTTGAGCGGTATGATCTTCGCATGTCTCCACTGTCTCGGCAACATGCCTTCTTCCAGTGACGCCTGGAATAAGTCGAGAACCCTGTGCTTGACCGTGGGCCACGTCATCTTCCAGACTACCGCCGGTAGGCCGTCTTCACCCGGCGCCTTCCATGATTTCGCTGCAAAAAGCTGTCGTTCTATCTCCTCCAGGCTGATACCAGGCATTGCCACCGGCTCTCTTTGTGGTCTGGTCCCCTCGTCGTCAATAACGTCAGGCAGAGGGGGAAAGAATTTGGACAGCAGCTCTTCTGCTTGCTCTTGATAGTCCGAGGTGACAGTCCCGTCTGCTCTAACGAGCTGCGGTAGCTTCCCGAATGCCACGTCCTCTCCCGACTTCAGGTATTTAGCGGCTTTCCAGATATTATCGTTATCTGCGAGAAACTCATCCCAGTGCTTCTTCTTTTGCTTGCGGATGGCATCATGGTATTGTTTCGCCGCACTTTGGGCTGTCTTTTCCAGGTGCTGTACTTTTCGTCCCGCTCGGCGCTCCGAGCGAGTTTGGTTTCGCCAGTATGTGTATATATGGCGCAGCTGTGTCAAGTCGGCTGTCCACCATCGTTTCGCGTGTAGTGATGGTTTTGCCTTTGGAGTCAACGCATGCACCGACTCACTGACCGCCGTCATGAGTCGGTCAGTCTTCTGCTGCACCGTGACTCCTGATGGGGAGGCGGTCAGAGAACTCGCAATTCTGGCATTGATCTCTTTCCATGGTGCGTTCTTCAGCAGAAGTCGTTCCGGATGCTTCGGGGCTGACCACGGTGCATCGAACACAGTCTCAATAGCACGGTGATCCGAACCGTGCTCTGTCCCATGTATCGCACACTTGATCATTGAGTCCGTCAAATTATTAGAGGCTAGGACGAGATCGATGGTCGACTCGCAGTCCCCGCTCTGTCCACCACCGTGCCATGTCTTCGTGCCTCGCTTGAGTAAGCTGCTAAGAGCAAACTCGTTCATGAGGTCAATGATTGGGTCCGCTTCGCCCTGTCTCCCCAGGGACACCTCGTCTCCTCCCCAGAGTTGATCGTGGCGATTAAAGTCTCCCACAATCATGACCTCCACCACAGCGCCCGTGTCTCGCCGTACCTTTGCAACTGCTTTCCTTAAGTGATCGCACGTGTCGTCCAACGCCGAGGCATCTCCCCCTTCGACGTAGACTGATGCTATAAATATCAGACGCTCGGGGAGGCGGATGACCGCCGCGGTCAGATCCGGCGACTCGATCAGCACTTGCTCCGCTTCCGCCTCCTTGTTGATCCAAAGCATACTTCGGATTGCCCATCGGCCCTCCCTCCAGGCGGAGGGAACCATCTTGGTCCATTTGTGGTGTCCCATCGGGGTTGTCAAGAGCCGGTCTTGAATTCTCCTCGCTTGGGGTTCCTGAATCGCTAATGCCACTGCGCCACGTGTATCTTCATCGTTCAATAAACTGTCATGCACTGCACCCTGCTTCCTCACATTCAGTTGGATGATACGGGCGTTTTTATTCATGTGATGGGTAGAGTTTCCGACAGTTTCTGCTGAACGATTCATGTGGGCCTCCGCATGGAACGCACTTCGGAACCGTCTGGTCGCAGATACTGTGGCGATGGCCCCCCGCGGCGCATTTTGCACACCTCTGGATGTTCTTGCACTGGAATGCCTTGTGGCCAATCTCCTGGCAGTTGTAGCATTGCATCGGCCGTGGTCGATATTCGAAAGTGCTGGTCACGCCAGATTCTCCCCCAGCGTGAAAGAACCCGTCAACTAGGAGCCTGCGTGCATCAGTGCCTTTGGTTAAGTATACGACCATTGACCCGTACGGCTTCGCATTATCCTTTTTGCTGAGCCAAGCGACCTTGGCCACGGTGGTTTCATTTTCCTCGCTGAAGGCTGCTGCGGCTTCGGCTCGGATCTCATCTTTCTCGTCTAGCACCGCGGCCTTGTTGACGCTGTCAACTTTGATCGGGTAGAGCTCATCACGGAGTACCCGGGCTCCCGCGCCGATCTTGGCTTCCGCCACTTTCTTGACCAGCTGGTGTTCCACTTCGTCGCGGCACGCTATTCTGATTCGGTTGGTGTTCTTCGGATCCACGGTAACAGCGCGACAGCGCCAGTGCGTGTGGCCTTCTATCGTCCGAACCTCTGATTCGACCGCCGCCCGGATTGGGCCTGCGGACATCCTCTCGTTCACATTTTGGGGCATCTTCGAGGTATCTATCGTGCAGTATAACGTGTCGGTGATGTTGGTTGGTGTTGTATTCGACGTTGAGAGCGTCCGAATGTTGCTCGGGTGACTGAGTGGGGAAGTGCGGGCGACATCTGCATAGGACGGGGAGCCAGTGGGAACGGAAGGGCTGATGGCGTCGCGCAGGGATTGAATCTCGCGGAGGATCTCATCGTGGTTGCTCTGAGCGCATGCCTCGGTGTGGGATTGGGGTGTCGGGGGTCTATCTGTCAAGGTCTGCAACTCGTGTCGAACTTCTGCAAGGGTCGCGCCAAATTCTTCCGTAGCTTTCCGAAACTCCTCCTGGACCTTCTGAAGCTCTTCGCTATGCAGCTCATCTCGCCGTCGGATTTCTTCCCTGAGGTTGACAAGCTCTTTCACGAGCTTGGCAGTACTCAGGCCCTCACTCTCGATCGAGGAGTCGTCCGAAGTTGCCGCGTCGTGTTGGGCTTCTGGCCCGATTTGGGTTCTATTCTTTTGTTGGGATCGCGTCTTCCGCTGTTCGTTGTCGTTTTCTTGTTCTTGAGCATAGTTATTCGGCGGTCTGGTGGTGCGTTTCGGTCTTGACAGTCGCGGTGGTGAATCCCCGTGTTCGTCGCGGTCGGGCGGTTCAGGGGTTCGCATCGCGGCCCGTCCCGCCATCACTCACAATCGATACAGGTAGTCGGTACGTCGCCACGTGGCGAATGCGTTATCGGGTCAGAGATCGGTCCGGAGTCTACTACTACTACAGACGCGCTCGACTATGATTACCGACAACGGGTACAGTCTTACACGTATACAGTGGAATTCGAAATCAGTTTTAACTCTAAACTCTTACAATTTAATTTTCTGACCCTAAGTGGAGACACCCAAATCTAATTTTAGCTCTTCCCCTGTTAATCCATAATACATAACAATGTGGGAGGAAACACGACGGTTTCCACGGCTCTCTAGAAAGAATAATTTCAAGTGATCAAGCCACCTTTATCAATGGTTCCAGCATATCCCAAACGCACTTGAGGGTACGCCCATTCAACTATGATGCAACATGTGGTGAGAATCATCCAACGGGGGTTTCGCTGTACCCAACGCCTCACAAGCCTACCTGGTTACTGTATTGTGTTTATAAACAACTCTATTGTGATTTGCATATTACATTCGGACAGGTGTTGGGAATTTCCACGAATATGTCACATTGGTTGAATCCGATTTGCCACAGCAGAGCAAGGACCTGAGTATCACCTCTACTATGAATTTCCGTCATCGCAAATGATCCAGGTCACCTCTGGTACAAGTGACGACGTGACGACAACCTCTGCCGCCAATCAAGGGGTGATATCGAAGATAGGTAGAAATATTGCAATTTCATGAGCACGAAGGAAAAATTGAAAAGATTGAGGTCTAAGTTCACTAAAATTCAACTCAATTCTTCGCACAAATCTTGCAGGAATGCTTTTAATGATGAGACATTGTTCCTGTTCTGTACCAGCTTTATACCACAACAGACTTCTGCCAAAACCTCGAATTGCGACATCTCAATAGTATCTCGAAGTAGCGGAGGAACGTGAACTTGGGTAACTAGCGCTACAAGGTGAGAACACTACTTTTCCGGTCATTTTCTCTCCTTGTTCGCTAGGCGCTTTGATCGTCTGTTCCAAGAATGTTTCGCTCCTTCGGGCGCTCTTTGGCGTTTGCCGGATCTCTGTGAATGGGACGGATGGCCATTATCGGTTTGGCTAGCCTCAGTAGATAGTTTCAACTCATCCCCTTGACTAGACCACGTAAAGTTGTGTTGATCACAAGATATCGTGCTGGTTTCTGCTACCCGACAACGGCTCTCATATTTGATTGGTGGGGCTGCGGCCATAGTCTCGTTAGCAAAACAGATTTCAAGATTCAATGTTTCAGATAACCGTACTTTCTTTGTCATTATCAGACTTAGCGACTTCGGTTCCTTTTTCCTCCAGCTCGTCCTTGGGAATGGATTCAGGTTCAGGGGAACAAGTACAATCGGAAATTTGACTGTAGACCGACTGAGATGATGGAACGTAAAAGCCCTGGTCACGCGAATTGCCCAACATTGCCCAGAATTCAGGCGTACCTAAAGGCTCCGTATCCCCGGTAAAGCTTCTCTGCACTGGTATTTCCTGCTTGCCTAAGGCGTCGGCATCGTCATTTATAACAATAGGGTTGGTTTCAGAGCCCTCCACCTCGTTATCATCTTTTATATTGATAGGATTGGCTTTCGTACCCCGGTCGTCGTTATAGTCATTTGTAGGGGTAGGGTTAGCTTCCAAGTTCAATGGACCACCCAGTGCTCTAGCCTTGGCCATGGTGTCTAAGTTTGAGGAAATTAAGAATATCTGGTTAGCCAGAATGAGGCGTCAAAAACAGATGAGCCTGTTACTAGACAATTAGTGAGATTTCGGCCCTCGAGAGTAAATTTTCATACCTTGAGCTTCTTCAATATTTGTGAAAGCTTTTTTTCTTTGAGCCAGTCAGCATACTGAGGGCTATATGGATGTATTTATATGAAAGGATAAAGAAAATGAATGGAAGGATATAAGCTCCTAGGAGGTATGATTGGGCTCCATATTGATGTTCATTGCCCATAAGCTCCTAGGAATCGTGCGAGTAGGCTCTGAATGATCATGCCTTCACCAGCCATATGGAGAACGGGCTGACGATTAGTGTGGGGCATGCATCGCAAAGGTCGTCCGCAAGGAAGAGTAGTGGTAATTGTTGCCGGTGAACTACAACCCGTGGTTGGGAAACTGGTGTTGTCCCGCCTCTTGGATGTAGTTACCTAGATTGTAGGAGCTGGTCGGGATCTTCTGCGCTGGGTACAAGGCAGATTCCACCTCACGGACGACCGTCGTCTATAAAGAGACTACAATTCCAGCCAAATGGCAGAACTGAAATCCAAAACCCCTTCAAATTCTCCTCTCCCCTACACCCTGTCCCCCATCCCCTATCCCCAATTCTCTGTTCTCTGCCAGTTTCCCTGTTTTATGACTACCCGCAACCACCACATCTTGAAGAATATCTCAGCCGTCTTTTCCACACAATATGTCAAACGCTAGTTTTCGCCTGGAATCCTTTCGGCCATGGAATCCTTTCCAGGACAAATCCCAGCCTCTGCGAGATTCTCTCGATATTTGCCGCTACCCAAGTCCTGTCTCGATGACTCCCACCCCACCTCCCTCCAATCCTGTCGACCCCGTCTCCAAGAGTCAATATATTCATGCTCACGAACCTGGACGGCATCCTATTCCTGACCGCCCGCCGTTGGAGGTTTGCTTGGATGATGGCCTGCATTCTGACGCACAACCCACTCGACACGAGCCGGAGAATTTGCGCTTTACCACCTTGACCAGTCCTCACGCCGAGACCTTCGACTCTGAAGACGTTTTGCAGTTGCAAGACCTACCGAGCGCTGAAGATATCGATTCTGCTCCAATATCCGATAATGGTTGTCTGGGTGCTGAGCATCGATCCCCCGGTTTTGAATCGTGCGACTTGGACCCTGGCGTTATTTTGGAAGGTCATAATACAATTGTAGAGATCCTGCTCGATGCTGGGGCCGATGTTAACGCCCAGGGTGGTGAATACGGCAATGCTCTACAGGCCGCTGCTGCATTGGGTGGAAGTCCTGAGAAAGTCAAGATCCTGCTCGACGCCGGGGCCGATGTCAACGCCCAGGGTGGTCAACATGGATCTCCTTTCTTGGCAGCTATTTACTCGGGCCACGCTGATCTTATTGAAATCCTTTTTCATGCCGGCGCAGATATTGGCCTTGCAGATGCGCTCGATCAGACCCCTCTTCACATTGCAGCTTTAAAAGATATGGCTCACCTTCTCTTTCGATTTCCGCAACTTGCGTCAGCTATCAACAAGCGCAACAAGCTCCTGCAAACCCCTCTCCACTTGGCTATCTGCTTTGGCCACATCCACTTTGCTATAAAACTTCTTCATCTTGGTGCCGGCCCTTCTCTTCCAGACGGCTATGGCAGACATGCTATGGACTGGCAAGGAACTTTGATGCGGGAAATACTTGAACGTTGTCCTCGGCTCTCATTGACACCTCATAAAATTCAAGAATCAATTGTACAACAATCACTCTTCTACCTCTCCGATCATCTTCGCAAGTCATTTGGGCGAGACATTCCATTGTACAATCAAAGAGGAAAAGCAAAAAAGCAAACAAACAATACAAAAATGATGTCGTCAGCGTCCACTAACATTTAACATCTAACCTTCCAGCACTCTTCAATCCTTTTTTCCACCTGCCTGCCTTGACTCTCCAAATGCCTTTTTTGATCACCTACATCAAGCGCAACTAAATTGAACCAATGTGACTCAGTGGTTCACGGTCCGTTTTAGATCTCTTTAGAAACGGAAAGATAATCTTGAGCAGGATTGCTATCTGTTCTTGTGTTGCATCCTCCGAACTATGTTTTCCATGCCCCTGGGTTTCTTACCACCCTCAACGGGCCCTGTGATAGGATCACTATCCCTTCTTCTTTTCTTGCTTTCTGATTGTTCCGGAACTGCCTCAGCCCCACAGACCTTTGGTTGTGGCTCTGCTTGCTCCACCGAATAATCCGGGTTTGGACTATTCAGACCCTTTCTGTGAGGTTGGAGCGAAGGAGTTGGAACCTCCAGAGAAATGGGCGTTGGAGGCTTATTGCCCAGTTTTGGGTAAGCCTCACCTTGCGATGTGTAGGTAGCAGTAATCCAATTATTCAATTCGCCTATTCTTTTTTTTGGCGTCGCACTCAGAAGCTTGCTTTTCATTTCCCAACTTTTGCTTTCGCCCGTAATCAACAAGTGAAGATCATCTGGTAAGATGCCTTGCCATTCGACAAAAACGGTTGTCGCTAGACACGGAGATTTAGTGTCTTCAGTTCCTACCCGGTGAGAAGTAGGTCTTTTTTTCTTCGGGTCGGATGATAGTCTGGCAACTCCTAGTATGCTTTTGATATTGGAGTATCCGTATTGTCGACGCCCAACTCCATTTCGAATATCCAGTATTGACTTGATGGTGCTAGAAACTTCTGGAAGTATTTTCTCCTGTGCATTCAGTTCGGTGAGTCTTCCCATTTCATATTTTACGATGCCAGCAGAGATGGAGGTGCACCGGTAGATTTTGCGTTGCTTTTCGCCGACGCCGCGCTTGTACCTAGCGACGGCAACGCTTTCTATTTCGGTCCTATTCGGTGATGCATATTGCCTTGAATAAGCCACTGGGGCCTCCCTACGTTGTGCAACATCTAATTCTTTTGTTTGTTCTTTCGGCATATGTTTTGAGGCTTGTGGTCCTTCGGATGATTCGCCCTCGTCTCCATATCTGTTTGTCGTATTCGCATGTTCAGGGTTTTGCGAATTTTCTCGCGGCATGAATATTCCCCCGGGATGTTCACCACCCAGCAATTCGTCGCTTGGGTCTGCTTCACTCCCCCCGAATTCGGTACGTCGACTCCCATCGGCATTATCCGTTGGCTGACCTTCTGTCGGGCGGAACGCAAAGCTCGTTGCTAGCCCATCTCGGTAGTATTGGATGTCTAACCAATCTCTTTCGGATTTATCCTTTTTATTAACCAGCCTATCACATTCGTTCTTCAGTGCAACTAAGTGCTCCTCTTCTTTAATGATCCCACCAAAGCCGCGGAGTTCTTTTCTTGTATACTTTGAACCTGGCAGCTTTCGGGGAGGCATTGAAGGGATTTTGATTGGCAGGTAAATCGAATCATGAACAAGTCTCTGCTAAGGGAAAATATCTTCTTTTATATAATAAGGAAGAACTAAAGGTTTTTAGAAGCTGTTGTGAAGAGTTTATATCCGATTAAAATGGTGAGGGCCCAGATCCATAAACGTGCTGGAGTAATTGGTATTACCACTTATTTTGATTTTTCTTTACCAAATTTAAAAGTCAATACCCTCTACCAGTTGCTGTCATCCCTAAGCTCTCAACCTGTTATTAAAAATCGTTATCAGATGAAGAAGGGCTTTCAATTACCCATGGCCTACTCATACAAGCAGGCTTGCTGAATTGACCTTCAATTACCGGCCCTCAAACTTAATTTTCATCATGTCTGTCGGCTTCCCGGCCACTTTTTTGACCAGGACATAGCTATCCATGATTCTGTGTTCAATTCCTCTAGTTCTCTTCCTATGTTCATTTGTCTCTTTGGCGACTGAGGGGAGGGTTGATTCGACGGGTAGTCAACCTGGTCAAACTAATTTTTAGGCAAACATTTATTTTTTTACAGTTATTCAACCGGGCTGGTCTCAGGTTTATTTGGTCATATTGAGATCTTAGAGAATTGTGATGGTGTGCAAAACGAGTAACTACCAACAACCGTTTACTTCAAACCTCGGCTGAGCAGATTGTTCATTTCATCGGATCCACATTCCACTCTCCGCCATCACTTAACACTTAATTACCTGTTTATTATTATAGTTCTCTGGTTGCTCCATGGAATCAACTTCAATCGACTTAACCAGCCATCCGCATTTTCCTGCCAAAAATTAATTTTCTGACTTCCAGCCACTTGGTTGACCAGAGCAATCGCTAGCCCTGCCTTTGGGTTTTGTTTCTTTGGTTTATCTCTCTTGTGCATTTTGTTAATGTGAATGAGGGAAAACAGAATAGTTCTCTATACACCACTGAGTATCCGTAGTACAGTGTTATTCGAAATCAGCTATACCTTCACACTCTTACTACTTGATTCCCGGAAAATAAATCCGACGGTCGTGAGTTCTGATAGGATAGGCTGTGAAGGCTCCACTTTTCAGACCGCTTTCTACATTGGTAGATGTATCTTACATTACGGTAGTAAGACACGACTGGGTGTATTTTACGCGAAAGTGCTATACGCATGCTACCTGGCAGGCTGTGCCCCTCAATCCATGGCGCAGGCAGATTTCATCTGCCATCACCCGTCTGTCTGCGAGATTTCAGTATCCGAGATCAAGCCAAACGACATGGCTCCTAGGCTCCCTCCTTCGAAGCTTCATCTGATCCGTGATATGATAGAATGCCAGTCCTTTACCACGTCTCAGATGGCCGAAGAAGCTGAATGTACCAACGTTACGATCATTAATATTCGCAGAAACTTACGCCAATTTGGAACTATATATGCCCCGCAAACCCGAATCGGCCGAAAACGAACTATGACACCGCTGATGATAAACGCTCTTTGCGACCACCTTTCTGAGAAGCCTGGTCTCTACCTCGACGAGATGGCTGTCTTCCTGTGGGATGAGTTTCAAGCCATGATTACAACCTCAAGTATTAGGAGAGCCCTGGTAGCGACAGGTTGGTCCAAAAAGGCAACGCGGCAGAGAGCTAAAGAGCAAAACGCAGACTTGAGAGACTACTACCTACACAATTTATCGGAATTTCAGTCGTATCACCTGATATATGTTGATGAATCTGGATGTGATAAACAAGTCGGATTCAGGCGCACCGGTTGGGCACCTCTTGGCAAAGCTCCTCTGCAAGTAACACAGTTCCACCGTGACCAGCGATATCAAATACTACCTGCGTATACTCAAGATGGCATCCTCCTCTCGCGTGTATTCCGCGGCTCTACAGATGCTACTGTGTTCGAGGGTTTCATAGCCCAGCTTCTCCAGCATTGCGGAAGGTGGCCAGAGCCTAAATCCGTCCTCGTGATGGATAATGCATCGTTCCACCACTCAGAGCGACTTCTACAGATGTGTGAGGAAGCCGGGGTGAAATTGGTCTACCTGCCGCCTTATTCGCCGGACCTGAATCCGATTGAAGAGTTCTTTGCTGAACTTAAAAGTTTCATTAGACGTAATTGGAACTACTATGAAAGAGACCCCAGTCAAGGATTTGATGTTTTCTTGGAATGGTGCATCAATGTGGTTGGCGCAAAAGAAGAAAGTGCCCGAGGTCATTTTCGTCATGCAGGCTTAAAAATCGAAAATATTGGGGCTTAAACACCACGCATAATGTGTTCGATATGTGTCGCAATTGGAAGCCAAAGAACGTCTCACAGTGACAATCAAAATCGGATTTTCCTCTGTGCTGTCCTGGAGTCTCCCGGCGCCCGAATTGAAAGCACAAATTGGGCTATGTTTCGCCTTCTTGGCTCACAATAACCAAACATTGACTGTTTACCATATTGTAATTGCAATTCGGGAGAGTAGAGCTTAAATAACGCAAGAAATATCCATCACTTTATTGATCTATACAGCTGTTATTCTGTGAATGGAGACCAAAAGCAGAAACTAAACTAGAATAAGTGAAACCTTCAGATTGCCATTGATCCTGGCCTAAAAATTGAGAAATAGGTAGCTGGATTAAATAGTCCAGTTGGTTTCTTCGGCTGCAAGCATTCCTAGATACCAAATGCCCATTAGCACAGTGAGCTGACCCTGGCCTCCAGCTGTCCAGGGGATTGACATAGAGACGGCTAGACTGCCGTTTGTATCGAGACGTTTGATCCCAATCAGCTCAGTGTTGGCAAGCACAAAGCCATGGCGCGCTTTGTGTTGGCCCATGTAGAAATTCACCTGTGAAAGAACCTGCTTGTATTGTTCTTGAAAGATGGGGTTTTGCGAATGGCGGTAATCAGAGCGCCATTTCCACGAGACCTTCATATCTCCTGGGGCCCGGTTCGTACTGTCGGCGTAGGTGCCCCCGAGAGTGACGAAGGCAGTATCTGGTCGAAACTGGTCGACGTACGCTGCTGAGCCTCCACCGTCAAAAGTGATCGGCACAAGGCTAAGTTGCTGAAGCCGGGGTGCGAGCTCCTCGAACCCGGCGCGCAGTGCGCGCCTGACACGGGGTTGAAGCAGCTCGGCAAATCGAAGATGAAAATGAGGCTCATCCCTAATTGCGGCAGGAGGGGACCTGAAGGGATCGGATGCGATCTGCTTTGAGTTCAAAATCCCGCCATATCGTTGAATGATCGTTGCATAATTGAACTCTGGCCAATCGACGACCTGGGTGATGTCTTCCGCCCCATAGCGGGGGTTCGTTGTATTCCGAGATGGGGCAGAACCTTGAATAGGAATTGCCGGGAGGGAAATAGAGAGATACTGTAAAAGAGATTGGTTGTTCATATTGCAGTAGTAGAGTACCACGTCTGGTGAATATGACTTAGGAGTAATTGCCCCAGGTGGTGGATACCTAATGACAGCTGATCGTCGAGATAGGCAAGAAGAATCAGGATAGAGAAATAAAATGAAGGGCTTGGGAGGAAAGGAAAATATAGGGAGAATATTCGATCCAAAATTACACATATATCTGACAGGCAATCAAAAGCGATGTTTTTGTATACAGTTGATTGGTGTGACTACTATAATAAGCGCTCTCACTTGAAGTGCATATCTTGGCATAAGCAGAGTGAAAGAAAGCGATTAGTGAAACCCCGAGCGAACCTTGGATTTAGAACTGTGGTGAATCTAGTGGTTTAAGAGGTCTTGAAAAAAAAAAAGCCTTCATTGGAACCCTGGATCAGGACCATAGTCGATGGGGCGGCCTCAAGCACCCGCCTTCTCGTTTCAGTTTTAGAGGGCGCTTAGATGCAGCCACTGAAACCGACCCACTCTGAGATTTCCTCCTACCAGCGGCAGCGTAGTGGATTTGATTCGCGAGGTCTGGGATTTGGGATCCACATGACCCAAAGTCAAACTTACATAATCCGGCTATTAGTAACCAAGACCTATCCCTTTTTGTTGCCTGACCTGCTTCAACCTCTTTGGAAATGTAACTTTCCAATAGGACAACAATGCATCTAAGAAGTGCTTCCTTAACGGACATGGATCCCTCCAAAATCAATATAATCAGGGAGATTACGTGCTCTGATGCGTCTTCAATATTCGAGGCAGATATGGATGGACAAAAGTATGCTTTGAAGCTTTTCCACGACAACGGCGACCCTGGATATACCGAAAAAGGTCGTGATTTGAACCGATTTCGCTGCGAACTTAATGCATATAAGAAGCTTTTCGCCTCTGGTGTTTGTGCGCGCAGTTTCGTTCCAAAATTCTACGGCTACATCAATCGAATGGATCCCGCAGCATTTCATCCTGCTTTCCAACATTTCTCTCAAGACAAGCTCAAGCCGAGAGCAATATTGCTAGAGTACCTCCCAAATGCGGAGAGTTTAAACTGCATTAACTACTCGGATACACTCTATCCTCAGGCAATTGAGGGCATGAAGGAGATACACAGGGCGGGCGTTCACCACAGAGACATCTACCCGAGAAATCTTCTCCTTGTTCGTGGACAAACTGATAGGTTGGTCTGGATTGACTTTGATGTTTCAACGACCTTCACCGACTTTGGGCCTGAACAGTTGGCCCGCTGTGACTACGAAATTGCCCTCGTGAAGGGATTTGGAGAAGCACTGGTAAGGACTCCGCTGCTCCCTATGTTGGAAGCAGTTAGCGTGCTGACTGACGAATGCAGAGAGATGACCAGGCTGAGGGACTCCCGCCTAATACAAAATTCTATTAAGGGTTCTACAGACGCGCTCGAAATCAGTTTCACCAAAATGTTCTCTTTGATTGCTTCTCAATTTCTATTTTTATTGACGCTAGGCCTGATATAACTAGTGGGTATTAATTACCCTTTTCCTATTCGATAGTTATAGATGGGCTAGGCTGGATATCGCCCGGAGTGGGTCCGGCCAAGACTTAAGAAAGAGCCAAAGAGGTGAAACTGATTTCGAGCGCGTCTGTATAGGCTTGCGAATTTTCCGACAATGTTTGATCGCGTTCATACGGTTATACGTTCTTGTAATAGATGAGTTAGGCAGAGCTTTGAGTAAGGGCTGTTTTCATTCGGCTTACTTTATTTTACTTCATTCTTAAAATCTGGGGTTATGTATCGTACAGAGAAATGCAGACCTTTAGAAGCCCAAAGATGTCAAGACTTGCGGCGAGACATGTCCATCGTAGATCAGAATTCTATCATGATCGTCTATCATGTAATCGAAGAAAAGACAGGGTCGCACCGATACTGTAGGGCATTAACCGCAGAATACTTGTTTCCCCACCATCCACACTTGCTATGGCTCGTCTGCTTATCTGCATTACGTGGTCAGAGGTGTGTAGGATTCTCCGACAGCACATCTCGAATATCGCCTATACAGGCAAACTTTCCACATCTTGTACATGCATAATACAGATGATAGCCACTGCCGTTCTTAATGTAAAGTGAACATGGGCTTTTTTTTGGCACGGCTGCCACAATAAAGGCAGTGAGGGGGTTTCGAAGTGCAGGATGATTCGTTCAAGGATTGGCAAATGCCCAGGCTTGACCGTTCATTCCTAAGAGAGAGCATCTAGTCAACAACGTTGAGTTTTAAGATGAGGGAATTTTATGCTACAATTCTAGGGAACACCAGAGTCATCGAAATAGACGGAAAAATGATGGCGGGGGAAAAGTGTGTGCTTCAGCAAAAAGTAACGGGATGAGCGTTTATCATGCCGCACAGCAATTGGCTGGACATGTATGAGGGCGGGGCCCTATGAATCGTATGATTGAGGGTTGGTAGAGCAGTGAGAGATCACGGCCAGATGACCAATTTGCTAGGCGGGAAATCCCATTGCGCCTCTCATTTTCTAACCACATTCATCAATAATTGGCCTTGTGAAGTTCATTCTTTCCATAGCGCCTGAAATGCACTGTCATAAATCCAGTTCACTTTACAGTGAGGGGTCACGCATTCTTCAAAAAGCTATATATATCTCGCTGAAAGCCCTCTCATATTTTTCTTATTTTCGACAAATCACGTAGTCCATGAGAAAGATGACTCATTGTAAGTTCTTGTTAAAAATATAAAAAAACATAATGTATAATTCTAATGCCTTGATGCCCTAATGCGAAATTGTTTAGACTAATGGTTTTCAAGGACAGGTATGACTTTCTTCACGCTACCAACCCACTTCCCAATATCCTCTACGAACCGTCGAGCGATGCCTATTTTAATTCCTTTCTCGATGAAGAAATGAGGATCTTGATCTCTGTACACTTGGTCAAGATCAAGACCGTTTTCGAGCATCACATCACACACTTCTCGAAATGCAGATTTGAGGGAGTCGTTCTCAACATTCGAGACCTGCCACTCACTGTATTCCTTAACAGCTACATCTCTGAGACCCGGAATTTCGAGTGGGCTTATAGTCTGCGAATTGTCTGCTGCCCTCGGATCCGAGACATCAAGCCCATGGGGCGCAGACTGCGAGGACGAAACATCGATGTTGATAGGTGGATATGCTGACCCAGCCCCAGTGACATGACTTCCCTTATGCTTGTCTTTGTCCAGTCTATCTTGCTCTTCCCGGTATAATTCGTCACGAACCGCTTCTGGCACGTCCTTGTGACCTTCTAGAACACCGCCCCTCTCAACGTGGGTTATTAGGCGTTTGATGTGATGAGATTTAAGTGGGTAGTGTTTTTTCCCCATTGGGTCCACCCAGCAATGGGGGCCATGCTGACATGTCGACGAGTCACATCGCATTAGACTGTAGACGCCGCGCCAAATTGGCCTCCCGCCAGAAGTACTTTCCTCTGCGTCGAGCTATGCGTCCCGCTCGCCGAGCATTTTTTGCGTGACAGATGACTTCCCCCTTTTCTCCCCTTTCCGGCCAGCGGATGGAGAACGACGATCGTCTACATAGTTGAAACTGATTTTCAGCGTAAGTTCTTTTCCGCGGAGTAAAAGATCTGACCACATCAGAAGCTGCTTTTCGACGGGGGTCCAGGATATATCGGTATCGTCAAATCGTTTGGTCAGATTTCGCTTGGTACGATCGGTTGTTGATGCGACGATGACGGTATCATCTGGTCTCAGTTGGCGATGGCGAGCAGTCTTGCGTCGTAAAGCCTTCTCTAGATAGAGAGGCAGAAAAATGGAAAAGTGAGAGAAAGGGAGGAAGAGCAGGGAAGACGGGTCTTTTTAAGTTGGAGGGCACTCAAGGTAGGTTACGTGACGGCGTATTGGGGCGCTAAACCAAGAAAGGCAAAACTAACCGCATACAGTAATTCACAGGTCCGCCGTTTACAGCACCAATAAACACAGCCTACCTAAATCGCACGATGATATGTATAAAGGCGCGCAAGGGCTCGCAACGTCAAATTGAGGGTGGTAAGTTAGGCCATAATCCGGTTAAGCCAATTTAGGACAGTGGTCTATGCTCAAAATATATCTTTTCAAAAGACTACGTGGGTTTGTACAATATCTAAGACAAGAAAATCGCCTATGTTCGATGTTTTGTTTAAAATTGGCATGTTTGATCTCTATCAAAAAGTAAGTATAAAGTATAATGTTACCGATATTACTCGGGCGCACTAGTGAGCCGTTACCATTGGTGCCGAAGTCTCTCTTTTTCGCGTATTGAAAAGTAGGACAATATATGACGAAAGAAAACCAGTGATTGGCTCCGAACCCGGCAACTTCGAGATCCTGCTCCGTGGCCTACTTTTTGCGGTGTGTGCGACTATGCATATGTAAAATAGAGCAATCAAAGAGAACAAAGTGGTGAAACTGATTTCGAGCCTGTCTGTACGATTTGAATTTCTGGAGATTTTTCAGCGATTGAATCTTGTTCGGTAACCTCCACTATTTACACTGTAACCCAAACAATACTAGTAGAAGTGCTAGTGACAGAAGCAACAGTAACGATAGTGAGATGGCTATCTTTCGTAGTAGTAGTAGATGGAGTGCTGGTAAATGGAGTGCTGGTAGATGGAGTGCTGGTAAATGGAGTGCTGGAAGATGGGGCGCTGGTAGGTAGTTTATAGGTAGATGAGTAGCAGGGCGAGTTTGTTTTATCTAATTCTTCAGTTGTAACACACCAGCTACCAGCCTTTAGTCCATCATTGAGTACACAGGACGATTGATTCCCATTTATATTGGAGAATGTGACCAGTCCCGTGCGGTTCACCTGGATCCAAGCAACGGGCGAACCGTCCTCTGTACCGCATACGTCGACTTTGAGCACATTCAATTCATGACGGTTGCCATTGACAACCCCACTGATTTCTAGCAATTCGTTAAGAGCGGTCTTAATTTTCAATTTGAGGGTGCCTACTTGAACAATCAACTCCATCGAGAAGGCCAAATGACGCAGAGTAACCTGTGCAGCCATAATTATCAGTAGACCATATCAGACATTGCCGATCATGATCTATGACCTCAAGGGTTCCAGCTTGGGATGTGCCAGCCTGAATAATGGCTAGAATAGCAATTAAGAAAAAATGCATCTTCGAAAGACCTCAGGAACTATAGGCTAGCTTGACTTGGATGGACGAGATTAAGAGCACATTGCGCGGCTTTAAATATGAATTGTATGCACCAGAGTTTACGTTGGCACACGGAGCATCGACATAGTTTTCTTGAGGGTGGTCCGAAAATTTTTAACCATGATCTAAAGCCTCAGACGCTAGATAAAGATGCCAAGCGATTTAGCCATTATGTGACTTCTGTTACAACTCTTCCCTATTAAAGGATAGCCTGGTTAGGTTAAAGAGGTCCAAGGCTCATTATAATAAACACGACAGTGGTATTCCCGTAGCAAACCCCAAGAGCAGGGGCAAAAACTGTGGGATAAATCAGCGCGACAACGGTTTCGAACCCGGCGGAAAGCGAGGGCCTAGAGAGAATTTCCCACTGCACAGATCGCAACCACCAGGCTTGGCAAGAATTTATGAATTCGGCGGTGCAATACTATCTCTTAACACATAAACAGGAATATATTCTCTTTGATACAGACACGCTCGAAATCAGGTTCACCTCTTTGTTCTCTTCAGCTCGGTGTTGAATTCTGTTTTGCATGAGGCTATACCTTTTATGGTTACTCTACTCCTGACCCACTTTCTTGGCAGTATCTTGGTACGGTAGTATATACATAATTGCCCCTTGTGGTACAGTACGCTTTTCGCTCTTGCGTCATTTCATGATTGCATGTCGACCCTTGATGAGTGATCTCATCAATGTCCTCACTTCACGGGTACTCTAGGTAGTTGGCAATAAAATAATAATTATTGGTCTTCAAGCATATCTATTGTCTAGCCCATCTATGGAGTAATATTCAGCTTCTTTGTTTCCCATGCGAGCAAAGTTTGAGAAGTAGATAGAGTACGCGGATGATTTGAGCCAAGCGTTTCTCTCTGTTTGCTCAAACAATCTCGGAGTAAGTGAATGGCTTTGGTATCGTGACCCAAGAATTTCCAGGTGAATGCCAGATTGGCCATGCTCGTCAGCATGTCAGGGTGATCCTCGCCGAGCTTTGCCTTCCTCAATTCCACTACCTGAACGATAAGCTGCTCGGCCTCTTTCCATCGGCCCTGGTGCATATACGTCACAGCTAGGTTGGCCGTACTTGTCAGCGTGTCGGGATGATCCTCGCCAAGCTTCATCTTGCGAGTCTCCATCACCCGCACGTTGAGCTGCTCGGCTTCTTCCCACCGCCCCTGGTGGGAATACGTTGATGCCAAATTGGCCATACTCGTCAGCGTGTCTGGATGACCCTCGCCGAACTTCGTTTTGCGAGCCTCCATTACTTTCAGGTTCAGCTGCTCGGCTTCATTCCACTGGCCCTGTTGCAAATACGTCGATGACAGATTGGCCATGCTGACCAGCGCGAAAGGATGATTTTCGCCGAACTTCGTCTTGCTAGTGTCCACCACTTGAACGTTAAGATGCTCGGCTTCTTCCCACTGGCCCTGTTCCATATATGTCACAGCCAAGTTGGTCATGCTTGTCAGCGTATCGGGATGGTTGTCGCCGAGCTTCATCTTGCGAGTCTCCATCACCCGCACATTGAGCTGCTCGGCTTCTTTCCACCGCCCCTGATGGGAATATATCATTGCCAGATTGGCCATATTCGTCAACGTGTCAAAATGATCCTCGCCGAGCTCCTTTTTGCTTATGTTCACCACTTGAACGTTCAGCTGCTCGGCCTCTTTCCACCGGCCCTGCTGCAAATACGTCGATGCCAGGTTGGCCATACTTGTCAGCGTGAAATGATGATCGTCGCCGAGCTTTGTCTTGCTTGTGATCACTACCTGAATGTTAAGCTGCGCGGCCTCTTTCCATCGGCCCTGGTGTATATACGTCGATGCCAGGTTATGCATACTAGCCAGTGTATCGGGATGATCTTCGCCGAGCTTCCTCTTACGAGTCTCCATCACCTGCACCCAAAGATGTTGGGCCTCTTCCCACCGACCCTGCTCCCGACGCGCCATCGCTAACATCGCTGTGCTCTCAAGAGCTGTCTCATTCTCGGGACCAAGTATTTTCACCCTCTGCTTTCTTGATTGTGATGCCATTTGCGTCATATCACCAAATAAGCCGCTTTCCCACGCATACCATGCTCCTCTATAGAGCAATGCAGCCAATTCGAGTAGACACCCCGATGATTCTGGTCGTTGTGACATAGCGGATTTCACATGTGGATAAAGAACCCGGCACTTTTCCCAATTTACATATTCGCCACTGGGGAACTCTTCCGCCAAAATTCTAATGGACTTCTCCCTCCATTCCTGCACTTGCCCATATGACTTGAGCCATGCGCGCGTAGAAAGTTGCACCAGCCGATGAATCGTGAACAAAGTGCCATCCTTGCTGACAGATATCAATGAATAATCTCTCAGTGTAGTCAAATCATCTTCAAGGTCGGGCCCGATATCCGATTCGGATGACTCCCCGTCACTAGAGTCACTTAGAGGCTCTGAAATCGATGTGTCGTTGGCCTTAGGTTGATGCCGGATAAGGCTCTCCGGTATCCCTTGCCGATCGAAAAAGCTCATGAGTGAAAGTAAATCCGCCGCTGATGGCTTTGTTTGGCGTATATAATCGAATGATATTTGCCACGTCACCAAAATTGAATTTTTTGCTTCCCAGTCCCGATAGAGGTGGCCTGCCTCTTTTTTCAGAAGCTTTGTTGCTTCACGGTCACTCCCTAGGAGATCTTTCAAGTATTGTGATACCGAAGACCGAGGCGCCCGATTTCGAATATAGCTAGCGGCCTGTACGATCGCTAGCGGCATGGACTCTAACGCGTTCACTAACTGTCGACTCTCTTGGCTCTCTCCTGGTTGTTCAAGCTTTCTTTGGAGAAGCTCTAGCGCTTCGGACTTTTCCATGGGTTTAACCTCAATAAGGTCGCTGTGATGGACCATCTTCAACGCAACCTCTCTAGTCCGGCTCGTGGTGATGATAGACCCATTTTGGCTTCTAGGAACGTATTCTAAGAGTGGTTTTGTCGAGGCGTTCGTTGAGCCGCTCATCGGATCTCGCTTGCCTGCCACCGAACCCGAGCAAAGAAGCTGATCGTCATCGACATTATCAAGGATACAAACCCAATTTCCTATCTTTTCATCGCGGAGCTAGTTTTCGACCAGTTTGAAAATGTTAACTTTAGCATCTTGACGACCCGGGATTTTAACCTGGTCCGCGATGTCCCGGAAATTTGCTCAAATCGGGCTTCATTACTCGCATGGACCCAAAAAACCCATGTTGCCGGTGATTTGGATCGGACTTGGTAGGAGTATTCGGTCGCAAGTTCCGATTTTCTTCGAGTTGTCAGCAATAGATCACGTAAGAGCCGCCATACCCTTACCCAACACCGCCGAGGCCAATCAGCGCTATCCTAGACCCCGCGACCGAGTTCTTACTATAGATCTGATCAAGCAGTGTCTCGCGACAGACAAAATCTGGATCGCGCGTAAATGGCACAGTTGACAAAGGGCTGGGCGGAGCTTCTCGCCGCTCTAGAGGGAAGCGGCAATTAGTCACTCGGTCTTGTGTTTGGTTCCGTTCCTGACTTACCCGGTGGCAGATGAAAATCTGCCGTGTATGTGCCATAATTGATTCCCACCTGGGCTCCATAGTTGACACCAGAGTGACTTGTCGACGCCATAGTCGTATAAATTTGCCTGTCTGTAGTTCATTACAAGCTCTTCTCTGGCTCTCAACCGAAGGAGGGGTACGTCATCAGGTGACTCGGCTCCGCGGCGCTAAGACAGGAGACCAGATTTGCAGGCCACCCACGTCGAGCCGTGGGGCAGGCAGGCAGCACCTTCCCAGGAACCGGATCGACCCGAGCCAGAACACTCAGCTCAAGCGCAGCACGAGCATGCTTTGACAGTATCACTTCGAGAGCTCATTGCTGCCGGCTTTTGCAAGTACACGATGGATACTTTGAGATCGCATTTTGTTGTTGCTACGGTGAAACTAACGTATGGGTTTCCAGCCAAGCAACCACTTTTTTTGAGGTCCGCAGCTTTGAGATGGGCCCCAAAGCTCCCACGAACTGCGAGATCGCCCATGTCACGTGCATTTCCTAATAGCCAGCATCCCCCAGACTTTTCACCCAAATTCATTTTACCTGCTCACTGAGCAGAGGGGTGAGCAAGGGGGAGCATACGGAGTCGCTCCCCATTCCCATCGGTGGTACCAGACCACTGCCTCTGCCAACCGTCTCCTCATTAACGTCCAGACTTCTTTCTCCTCGCAACATGGCGCCAAGAATCCCTCTCTCAAAGCTCGAAATGATCCAGGACATGATATCGAGCAAATCATTGACTGCCTCGCAAATGGCCAAAGCTGCTGAATGTAGTAAGCGTTCAATCATCAACATCAGCAACAACCTTTCCCGGTTTGGAAATGTCAGAGCACCCCCGACTCGAGTAGGTCGACGACGGACCGTAACACCTCCGATGATAGAAGCACTATGCGATCGCCTCCTCGAAAAGCCCGGGCTATATGTGGACGAGATGTCTATCTTTTTATGGGACGAGTTCCGCATCCAGGTCACAAATTCGAGTTTGAAACGGGCTCTTGCTTCGGTGGGTTGGTCGAAGAAAGTTGCTCGACAGAGAGCAAAGGAACAGAATGCGGATTTACGAGATTTCTACATACAGTACGTCCCGAAACCGGTGCAACCACTACACTCTTCGATTGACTTTCCTGCCTCTTGGGCCAAGTCACACTAGTCTATATTGGGAGTTCTTCCGGCAGTTGCTTGTGTATTTGCTCGTACGTAGGTTACATGGTAATTTCAGGCATGTATTCGCTTGTAATTTCAATACATCTGACACCTCCATGCCCCTCCTCCGAAGCAGCTTTTCCTGGGTGAGGCGTACTTAACGATCAACCACGAGTGGTCCAACCAAAGATGGCTCCAAACCTAGCTCCTTCCAAGCATGAGCTTATCTATGACATGATCCACAGTGGCGAACTATCTATAACTAAGATGGCA